TTAACAGTGATGAATCTGAGGTTACATCACAGTATACAGTTCAAAATACATGAATGTAAAAAAAAAATTAAAATGAAAGGTATAACAAAACATTTATTGACAGAGTTCTCGGGCAAAATGTGATGTGTCAACCCTCGAACCAAACTGTCTGCATGAGGCTGGTAGGCCTCAGGCAGAGAGTTTGCTCCTTGGGTCCGACAAAACGCATGTTGCCCTCGAACTCAGTCAATAAATGTATACTGTAAAAGCACTTAATTCTTAGGGTCATAACTCCGCAGAAACAAAATTTCTATTCAATCCCTGAGTACGAAATCATGCAGATATCTTTGATTGTCGTAATATGTCCTTAATGAATCTTTAGTACGCTGTGACAAATTTCATTGGAAAAAATGTGTTTGCGTATATAGCGGAAATCAATTCCATGCTAAAAATAGTACGTCTACAGTATGTGCATAGATGAATTATAAAATTAAAAGTGGAATTTATCTTATAACTTTATAAATATCATGCATGAAAAAGAAATCTTACATATTTTATATAAACACAAATTTATTCCTAACAAATAATCATGAAATTTTAGTATCACAGTTAATAATATCAGTATCACAGTTAGTAATATCATCCAACTTGTCATTATGCATAATCATACACTGCCTGTAACAGGCAGTCCACAAGGTGTGTTAGATTTTTCCCAAGCTCCAGTTGTCTGATGTAGGGTGTCCATTTTGATTTGCCATTCTGAAGCCGAATATATGCTTCAGGGGGAAAATTAAACTGTATATTGATAAGTTCCTCCATACACTGAAGCCGAACAATTACTGACGATGCATCTACGGATATCTCCTTAATGTTCTCACACTTGCACAGCCATTTTGGTAGCTTTTGTTGTTTGTATTCATGCATAAACCAAAATACCCCAATCAGGAATGTACAAAGTACAGGAAGGCCCTCATCCTGAACAGATTTAGCTGTATAAGTATAAAAATTCACAGATAAGTCCATAGCAAGTCCTAAAACTGTAGTCTATGATTACATTTATTTATCAACATTGTTAATTGTTTCTTAATTATATTAAAGAAACACAAATTTTCTGAAGGGAAATATTTTTACACAAAAATAAAGTTCTAATAAATATAAAGTGATTTTACAGCATTCAAGTTCTATGCTATAAACATTGTTATTATTTAATGATTGAATTCAGGTAATAAAGTAATTTACGCAGTGACAGAATTCCCTGGTTTTTCAGCAGCTGTTCCAATTTATATTGGTTAATTCCAACTGCTTCCATAGCATCCAAGTTCCACAGTCCAACCTACAAGACAAGTACTTGTTGAATGTTTTACAAGCACTGACAAAATTTCAATAATTTTTGTGAAGTTTTTATAAATAGTAAAAACATGATGTGTTTGTGAAACACTGATGGCCACGTATGGCAGCTTATGACAATTAAGGGATGACATTTCTCTGTTCCAAACTCCAAAAATGTCAAACTTCTAGGTCAAGGTCAAAAGGTAAAAAATTGTTGATATTCTTTCAAGAAATAAACCCATGAAATATGAAAGCCCTGGTACTAATGGTTAAAAAATTATGGTCAAAGTTAAAGTTTTTTGGTAATAGATCAAATATGTTCAATGCCCATTGAAAGGTCTCGTCAAAGTGTATGGCACATGTGAAGTATGAAAGCCCATGCACCAGCTATTGAAAAGTTATGGCCAAGATTAAAATTTGGTATTCTTTTTTTTAAGTGGGTCAAACTCTAAAATCAAAGTCACAAGATCAAATTTCATGGTACCCAATGAAAGGTCTTGTCACAAGGAATGAAATATGAGAGCTATAGCCTCATCCACTCACTGTAAGCATGATTTGCTGTATGTCACATAGTATGTGACATAGTATGCTTTATTTAAAAAAAAATTGTAAAATGTACCTCATCAAGGGGTGGTAGTTTGTCCTGATCCATGTCAGCTGGCGATTCTTTCAGACTCCCCCACAGGTTAATGTATGGTTTATCTGTCATAAAAACAATTTGTATGAAATCAGTGGTGACAAAAAATATTATGTTAAAAAAATAAGCCTGACAAAAGTACCTAATAATTTCAGTTGAGCATTAAATTAGAGAATGCCAGCAAGAGAATCTAACAAACCTGAAGCAGCCATTTCCCTCTGTCTGTTACAATGATCAGCTACCTGAAATTACAATTTTTATAACTTTAGGCCATACTTAAAAATTTGTTTGTTTGGAATTGCCGCCTGAAGGGTTTCAGACACAGGAGGGAGGGAAATTAATTTTCTTTTAATTGAAAACTAATTTTACATAGATCTGACACTATATTTCAGTGTTTTGTATGGTGCATGTGATACAGGTAATGGGCAAAAAAAAAAAATGATTAAATAAAAAAAAATCTTCCTACTTTTGGTCAATAAAATTTTTTCAGGTGGGGGGATTTCAATGAGGTGGGAGGCAATTCCAAACAAACTATAATTTTATTTTGGCCTTAAGTAATAAATTTAAAACAAAGTTATTTTGCCTACTAAATAATACTGGAAATCAACTTTTATTTGCATGCGAAAAATATTTGCGAGTTTTGCAATATACTTAAGGTCGAGAATATTAATTGCTGCAAACCATTTATTTTGCTTTTTTGTAGAAAATGTTTCCTTATCTGTGAAAATTAATCATCGCGGATTGATTTCAAACTGACAAATCATGAATAAAAGATGACGTGAACAAAAGTTGGTTTTAAGTATTGTTACTTATTTAAAGCAAGAGAAATAGGATCATCTGGTATCAATGAAATAGTTAGTCTGCAATCAGCAACAACCCAGAAGCTTGCCTGTATTTGTCAGTGCTATCTGTCTTTACTCCCAAAATTAAACAGAATACATGTACTTTTACCATTTCTACTTTTTTCATTTAAATAATTATCAAAAACATATACAATATCATAGGTAAATAGCTAAAGGGAGCTATCATCTTTAAGCAAAATAAACTTTCCAAACATTTTTTTTTATTTTGATCATGTCGACATCAATGATCATAGCCATGCATTGTCTCAGATACCCATGAGGGAAAATAAATTTTCATAGACTTCATACATTTTCACTGTATGGCCAATGGACCTTTACCATTACACCTGACCCCCTGATCCTAGGGCCGTACTTTTTCAATTTTTAGAGAGGTATCCTTGCTTATCTTAACCATGCTCTTAGCCCTAATACCAGAAACCTTTCCAAAGGCCATTAAATTTACAATGTTTGAAGACATCCCTGCTCATCATAACCATGCACTCGCACATAGTTTGACTAATAAAATAAAAAAAAAATAATTTAGCCCCACTCCTTAGGCATTATGCAACCACACTTTTGAAATAAAGAAAATTTAAGCCTTAATTACGTTAAACAAATCATACACATATTTTATTTAATTGGGAAGTGACATTTAGTTAATAAGGTTATAACTAAATGTCAATTAAATGTGATTATATATGAAATTTCATGATAAACTTTTCCAAAACAATTTTGAGAGAGACTTGCGCCAAGTTACATTTTTTGGAAAACTTAACAAGCAATTCAGTCTAAAACTTTCCAGATCTGACCTTGGCTTTATGTTGCCCGACAAGGGACTGGAGTTGAGTGACCACCGCTTCACAGTCTGGTGGGATAAGAAGTGAAATGGGTTGATTGGGGTGCATCTTCACTATCAGCACAAGGGCAAATTCCTCTGTTTTATGCTTGGTTTCAATGCATCCAACCTGCAGAACCAAAATACAGCTTAATATTAACATACAAAAATAAAAAAGGAAAGAAATTATTGTGCTGTTTTTCTTGTCCATTACCAATTAGAAAAAAGTAAATAAGAGGTTAAATGAAAAACAATGAGAAATTGTTTTTTTAAATCTGATACTGTAGATGTACTTCTTTTCACAGGGTCATAATTCCACCGAATCTCAATTCCTGTTTAATCCACATGTAGAAAATTATGCAGATTTCCTAGACTGTAACTATAAGCCTTAGTTATATTTACATTAAGAACGCTTGGACAAATTTCCACGGAAAATTTGTGACCACGTACATAGCGTAACTTAACGTAGGTTGCGGGTTTGCAGGGCTTTTGAAAGTGTTCAAAAACATACCATGAAAATTACCTATATGATTTCTCTACCTTTGATTTCCATTCTCTGAAAATTTTATAAAATCCGTCTCCTCCGTTTTTGTGTAATTGAATTCCAAAGATGTCATTATTGTAGTAACATTTTCAGCGGTATTTTATTGAATTGTATAGGAAAAACATTGTTTTTGGCTTGTTTTCAGGCAAGGTTTCCATTTAAAAAATATCAATAACTTTTAATTCGTGCAGACAAATGTGTTTATCCTTTGGTATTTAAAAATAGAATTGATTTGAAATAAATCTGTGTGAAAAAATTAATAGGTCTTCGGGTTCATTTTTTCATAATTTAATTGTAGATAATTGCTTTTATATTGAAAAATGTAGCATTTTTAAGAACAACGTCACAAAATATCGAGACGTCACACTTGATGTCGTGAATATCGACACAGTAAACAGAGCAAAAAAAAAAATACTGATTTTAAGAAAAAGGAAATTTATGTCTATCTGCTTTCAAATGACCTGCATCATAATAATTCAATACAACAATTATTAGACATCTTCTCTTTAGAAAGCTTATTACGTCTAATATTCTAGTGAAAATTCTCGTAAAAACCAACAATCAGTCCTTTAGTTTCTTTTTTTTTGTATTTTCTTTATGTGTTTATTTCGTACCATTTCTTTTTGTTTTGTTTTCTTCATGCGGGGATTCTCGCCGGAATTCGCAAAATAAAAGTGACCTTGTATTCCCTTCTGGTAAAGGCAGAACACCCCCCCCCCTCCATCCCTGTTGAAATCGCAGATCTGTGATCTAAGTTTGTTTGAAAAGTCGTATGTATGAAGATAATTTAGAAGTCAAGGACTACTAACACCCCCAACCCCACACCACCCCACCTCCCGAAATATGTTTTTACGCTTTATATATATCTTTTTTCTTTAGAAAATTCAGCAAGGCAATCAAATCAACGATAACTTCTTATTAATCAATTTCCATCAAATATCCTCCCGAGTACAGTAAAACTCGGTTATAACGAAGTCACTGGGACCTGTGAAATTTCTTCGCTAAAACCGTAATTCGTTATAACCGTATCAGAAAGTTATTAAATTTATATAGCTAGGGATCCATGAAGACTTCGCTATATCCGTAAATTCGCAATATCCGTGTTCGTACTAAACGAGTTTTGCTGTATAAGTATTAATGCATGCAGTGTATATATTGAGAATGTTTTTATTTAAGTTAAAAAAGGGACAGCTGATATCTAAAATAAATCTTAACTTGATTTTATTTTATGCTTATATGTATAAGGATAGAAAACAAGAGGCCCACGGGCCTTATAGGTCACCTGAGCATTATGCAACAACTTTCCAGTTATTGAATTTGATTCATGTTTTAACTTAAGCCAGATGATATATGGCAATCACAATTTTGAAAGAGGCACCATTGATCATCATAACAGTACACTTAGCAGTTGCTTAGCTTGGTTACTAAATACCCATACGCAGGGTAGGGGAACAAAAATGCATTCCAACTAATCAGTAATATTCAGCAATAATCAGTAGTGCCCCTAACACTGTGACATAAACCCCTGACCCTAGGCCCACACATTGCACAAATTTTAAAAAGGTACTCTTAAAATTGCCTATCAAAAAATAAATAAATGTTTTATAAATACAATGGAGCAGATTTTAAACAATTAATTCATTTTCAGTATATAAGTAGAGCCCCCCTCCCCCACCCCTGACCCAGGGTCCTTGAAATTCACAATTCTGCAAGATTAGGGCCCTTGCTCATCATGACTATATAGGTAGTTCATCTGCTTCATACCCAGAGACAGAGAAGAAAATTTTCAAAGATTTAATGTATTTTCACTATATAATCAATAGAGCCCCGCCCTAACATCAGAACCCTTGACCCTGGGGCCATAAAATTCATAATTTTAGAAGAGGCATTCTTGCTCATCATAACTATGTACTTAGTTAGTTTATTTAATTCCTAGGAGCAGAGAAGAAGATTTTCAAAGAATTCACGTATTTTCAATATATAATCAAACTAGCCCTGCATTAACACCAGAACCCCTGACCCTGGGACCATAAAATTCACAATTTAGGTAAAAGCACTCTTGCTCATCATAACTATACACTTAGTTTATTTAATATCTAGGAGCAGAGAAGAAGATTTTCAAAGAATTCATGTATTTTCACTATATAATCAATAGAGCCCCCCCCCCCCTACACACACCAGAACCCTTGACCCTGGGGCCATAAAATTCACAATTTTGGTAAAAGCACTCTTGCTCAACATAACTATACACTTAGTTAGTTTATTTAATACCTAGGAGCAGAGAAGAAGATTTTCAAAGAATTCATGTATTTTTACTATATAATCTATAGAGCCCCGCCCTAACACCAGAACCCCTGACCCTGGGACCATAAAATTCACAATTTTTGTTGAGGCACTCTTGCTCATCATAACTATGCAATTAGTTAGTTTATTTAATACCTAGGAGCAGAGAAGAAGATTTTCAAAGAATTCATGTGTTTTCACTTTATAATCAATAGAGCCCCCCCCCCCCCCCCCCCCCAACACCAGAATCCTTGACCCTGGGGCCATAAAATTCACAATTTTGGCTGAGACACTCTTGCTCATCATAACTTGTAGTTGGTTAGTTTATTTAATACCCAGGAGCAGAGAAGAAGATTTTCAAAGAATTCATGTATTTTCACTATATATAATCAATAGAGCCCCACCCTAACACCAGAACCCCTGACCCTGGGGCCATAAAATTCACAATTTTGGTAGAGGCACTCTTGCTCATCATAACTATGTACTTAGTTGGTTTATTTAATACCCAGGAGCAGAGAAGAAGATTTTAAAGAAATAATGCATTTTCACTATGTACTTATTTAGCCCCGCCCTAGCACTAGAACCCCTGACCCCAGGGCCATGAATTTCATAATTTTGGTAGAGGACTCATTGCTGATTACAATCATGCAAACAGTTTGACTGCTTGATGTCCAGGAGTAAAGAAGAAGATTTTTAAAGATTGCATTAATTTTAGTGGTTTTGGCCCCACCCCTCAGGCCCCAGGGGGGCAGGGATCATGAAATTCACAATTTTTGTTCCCCTTTAGCCATAGATGCTTTGTGCCAAATTTGGTTGAAATTGGTGCAGTGGTTGCAGAGAAGAAGCTGAAAATGTTCAAATGTTAACACGATGGACGACTGACGACGCACGACGACGGACGAAAACGGATAGCAATAGGTCACCTGAGTTTACTCAGGTGACCTAAAAACATACATTCAAGGAATTTTTAGAGGAGTAAATGAAACTATTATTTGAACATTAGGTTTATTTGGCGTTATCAACAGGCAGATTTTATTTTGTTCTTAGACTTTCAATGTATAAAACATTAATTCTACTGAATGAACATGGAAAGCAACGCAGCGAATAAAATATGTAAATGTAACTAACAACAACGTATGCCGTTACTTACACTGGCAATTGGGGTATCGAATAGTATTAAACTGCATGTTTAGAAAGGCATCAGCAATGTACACAAATAACATTTTAATAACGTATTTTACATACGTATAAATGTTGCGCTTATGTTATCACAACGCGTAGTACATTCTTTCAGTGATGGTCATTTGAATCAAAATGAGCCTTCATTATTTTTGATAACTTCAGCATGTTCTATGAATACTATTACACTGAACTACCAATTTCAACAAAAGTATAGCTAGATAGGCCTAATGCACTGAATTTTTCCATTTCTCATCGTGACGTCATAATCAGATGTGCACAAGAAAGTCACCCAAATCATATAACTTGCGTACCCAGTTTTAATGACGTCAGCAAACCCACGACCTACGTTAATACCACATATATATGTTAAACTTCTACAGTATTTTTTTTTTCAATTTTCTACATACAGGTGAACTTCGGTATCTCGAACTCTGATATCTCGAATACCATGGATATGTCAAAGTGATTTGGAAGTCCCAAACACATATTCTTTAAGTATTTAATCTTCGATATCTCAAATCCCCAGTTATCTTGGAAGTTTTTTCTCAGTCCCATCAGGTTCGAGATAACAAAGTTTGATTGTACATTATTTTATTGTCCAAAAGTCTAAAAAAAATGATTAAGAATGTCCATAAAAATGCTTGAAAAATACCATTGCTCGCATGGCTATATGAAGCCTGTTTAAAATCAAAGTACTCAGAAGTAAAGAGAGCCGGGCTCATTTACAGAGTAGAATGGATTTCTTACATGAATCATGTTTATATTCTGATGAAAAAATTATTTTAAAACTATCAATGTAAATGATAAGACACTGACAGTGAGTTTTTCAATCTTAATACCAAGGTCCGATTTTCTCAGAATCAGAATTAATCTGGTACCGCAGCTGAATGTAAACAAACAGGCCAGTCTGGTTCCCTCTCCTGCTTTACCTCGTATGTGTAGAGAACTACGGTAACACTGATTATCAAAAATCCTTACGCTAATGAATTATGTTCTTTGACTTATCAAGTTTTCAAAGTCATTACTACTAACGTTCATTTTATATAGATAAAACTTTGTTTTATTTTTGTTGCTTTATTTAGCGTTTGTATTATCTCAAAAGCGGTTGAGAGTAAGAACTATATATTTGCACGTAAATTTAAAATGGCGACTATGGGGTCAACATCCTGCCTTGAACAGGATCACATAAGCCGGCAATTGCTCTTTGAGCAATAAGCCCGGCTAAAAACAGTAAGAAACATGATTTTACCAGTCCGGATGTTAGAACTACATCCAGTTTGCTCACTGATGGCTGGGCTTTTGCTGGATACACAGAAGCAGTGACTGAGTCCTTCAGTAATGGCTGCAGGCCTGACAAGTTCAGCAGATATCCCGGTACAAAATTCACGTACAGTGTCTCAGACCAGTCAATACTGATTAATCTGTAATGCAAACAATTGAGAAATACTGTAAATCTTTTGAATTCCACTGTGTTAAAATTTCATGATATTTTAAAAACTACCGATTGCAATGGTTTTAATTTCATGCTGCAAAAAAACTAATTCAAAATTTTGTATAAGCATTTAAACGTTTTTAAAAAACTAATAATAGCATTAACAATGGGTTTAATTTCACAGAAAAATGATAAATCGCAAACATAGTGAAATTAATACCATTGTGATTATTTGCCAATCTACAGTATTTATCCTAATTCTCAGTTGAAGAAATTATAAGTAAAAAGTCTCCCTGACAATATTACAATAAAATCATTACAATTTTACAATACACATTTTGAATAATTATGATCATAAAGAAAACTGGTTATCAAGTGAAAATCGATTAATATAAAATTGGTTTGTTTTGGTCCATACCTTTTCTGGTCTTTAAGATGGCGAACGGTCCATAGTTCAACAGAAAAGCATGTTTGTTTTTCTATTTTACCAATACCTTGCAGACAAAACAAAGATCCTAAAAAGACATTTAAAATGAAAGTATACATGTAACCAATTGTTTCTTCTTTCCCAACAAATTATATTATTAAATACATAAAGAAGTGTTAATCTCCCTATATGCATGCAAGCAACAACATCTATAATTTATAAAACTGCAGTTCTTTGTGTCAACAGAAAAATAATGAATTATAGCAATATTTTTTATTTATGGCGGGGGATTTTAAATCTTCAAGTTAATTACATGGATGTCCATAAAATAAATAAAAAACAAGCAAAGTTAGAGAATTAATGGTCCCTTGCAGTCTGAGTCTTACTTGCACTTACTGTAGGTGTACTTAAAAAAGTGGAATTTTAACGGCTTTGGTACAGACAATTATGTGCTAAATCAATACTGCTAGAAATCATAATTTAAATATACAATTTATCATAACATAAATACAATTTACAGTGCAAAAATACATTGCCCTAATAGCTATGTATTATTTGCTTGTGAAAATATCCTTAACTTTTACAACTTCCCTGTACTAGAGAATAATTTTTGCCATGAACCATAATTTCATTTGTGTTTTAATGCAGAATATATTTAATCATTTGCAAAAATTAAAAAGTTTTTAAATGATATTGGATTAACATATCAAGAATAAAAGCATTCTCTGCAATTATCAATGAGTGAATATTAACCTTTTCTAAAGCAGTCTTCCCTCTGTTTATTACGGACATATCCCGTAAACTGGCTTGGATAACTACAAATGGACTGCAGCAGTTCTGTAAATAAAAGTAACAATTCCATTTATGAACAGTCTAGTAAATTATTTCCAGATTGGTTTTTCATATAAAGACTGAATGAAATATCTTTACCTTCTTCTGCTAGTTGTATTACCCTTGTCCTCAATTTTTCCTCTGTAATTTTGGCTTCCATGTGATCACGCCTCTCAGAGGTATCCATACCTTCCTTTCTATCACTTCCTTCTCTTTCGTCCTCATCTGATGATTCATCTCTCTTTCTACCATCTCTACCTCTGTATTCTACTCTCCGTGAGACTCTCTCTCTACTTTCAGGCCTCTCACAGCTTCTGTCCCTCTTTCTGCTATATCTTTCTGATTCCTTCAAGACACTTCTATCGTGATATCTGTCTAAGCTTCTGTCTCTACTTCTATCATGATATCTGTCCAAGCTTCTGTCTCTACTTCTGCTTCTATCATGATATCTGTCCAAGCTTCTATCTCTACTTCTGCTTCTATCATGATATCTGTCCAAGCTTCTATCTCTACTTCTGCTTCTATCATGATATCTGTCCAAGCTTCTATCTCTACTTCTGCTTCTATCATGATATCTGTCCAAGCTTCTGTCTCTCCTTCTATCTTGATATCTGTCCAAGCTTCTATCTCTACTTCTGCTTTTTTCATGATATCTGTCTAAGCTTCTGTCTCTACTTCTGCTTCTTCTGTGATATCTGTCCAAGCTTCTATCTCTGCTTCTGCTTCTCTTCTGATATCTGTCCATGCTTCTGTCTCTACTTCTGCTTCTATCATGATATCTCTCCAAGCTTCTATCTCTACTTCTGTTTCTATCATGATATCTCTCCAAGCTTCTATCTCTACTTTTGCTTCTATCATGATATTTGTCCAAGCTTCTATCTCTACTTCTGCTTCTATCATGATATCTGTCCAAGCTTCTGTCTCTCCTTCTATCTTGATATCTGTCCAATCTTTTATCTCCACTTCTGCTTTTTTCATGATATCTGTCCAAGCTTCTATCTCTACTTCTGCTTCTATCATGATATCTTTCCAAGCTTCTGTCTCTACTTCTGCCTCTTCTGTGATATCTGTCCAAGTTTTTATCTCTGCTTCTGCTTCTCTTCTGATATCTGTCCATGCTTCTGTCTCTACTTCTGCTTCTATCATGATATCTGTCCATGCTTCTATCTCTACTTCTGCTTCTCTTCTGATATCTGTCCATGCGTCTGTCTCTACTTCTGCTTCTTCTTCCATCTTGGTATCTGTCCATGCTTCTTTCTCTACTTCTACTAAATATCCTTTTTGATTTCCTGCTCCTACTCTTCTTTTTGGACATTTTAGAGACTGGCCTGTCTCGACTTCTAGATCTGCCTTGGTATGTCTGTAATCTTCCATTCCTGCTTTGATCCATTTCTGAACCTTTGTCTCTACTTCTCTCACACTCCCTCTCTGTGTTTAGATCTCTTTGTCTACTTTTAGGTCTCCTTTCTAGACTAATTCCTCTGTCACTACTGTCAGAGTCATTTACAGCTTTATTTACAACTGCTTTATCAGCAGCTGCAACATTGTATGTTAGTGCACTTTGTCTGTATGCTTCTAAAGTTGTATCAAATTCTTTTGAAGATGGAATACATTGAGTCAAAGTTGAACCATATCCTGGTGCAGATGGAACATGTGCTGGTGAAGTTGGGCTATACGCTGGTGAAGCTGGACTGTATGCTGGTGCAGTTGGATAGAATGCTGGTGTAGTTGGACTGTATTGAGGTGAAGTTGGAGCATATCCTGCTGCAGGTGGACTTATCCGTCTATGTGCTGGTGGACTTGGGTTGTATACAGGGGAATCATATAGTATTGTATTAAAGTCATGTGGTTGTGAAATTGCACCATATGTAGGTGAAGCTGATCTGTTCCCTGTTAAAAATTGATTATTTGCTGGCAATGATGCAGAAAATTGTTCATCAAACATAGGTATTGCTATTCCAGCAGGTGTGTTTAAATCTGGAATTGGAACATCTGCAAACATGTCAAGTTGTTCTTGTTCTTCATCTGGCTCTCCATACGTACTCATCCATCCTTCATTCAGCTGTTCTAATGGTTCAAGGGATTCTACGTTCTGGATCAACTTTCTGTAACCCTCTTCTTCAAAATCAAGAAAGTGTAATGACTCTTCCATCATTGTTTGGACAGAATTCTGTCAAATAATAAACATGAAAAATACATGTACTTTTATATAAAACAGAGGCTCACCAAAAATAGAATTTGTTACACACAACTCAGTCCATTGCATGATGTTATCTTTTATGTGCTGTTGAACAAATTTTGAATAATTGCATGAAAATACCTGGATTATTCCTGGTTCAGTCCCAGTTAGAGAAGTTTCTGCTCTCATGGCTCTAGATTTTGGGTCAAAATAAGCTGTGCTTTTATCAAGACTCTTCAGATACTGAATAATAATATAGACATTATTTGATTTTTACCAATAAAGGTACAGGAGAGACTTGCAGTTCATTTATCCACATACATTGTATATTTAATTTTTTAGCTCTATTTGTCAATCAGTAAGTAATAGCTTCCTCTGACTCTAAAATTTACCTGATTAGTTGCATTATCATCCATTTGATCAGATGACTCTGAGTCTTCAGATTTCATACACAATTTTTCTACAATTTAAAGCATAAACTTATCAAAATTTACAAAAGTTTCAAACTATTTTATATTTTTACATTTTTCCATAAGGAAACACAGCTCATGATTTATTGAAAATTATTCATTCATTCCCTTAAACAATATAACAGCTAATTAAATTATCTTACAATATATATATACCTGACACATACTTAACCAATATTAAATGTACATTAAATTACTTTTAAAAATTCATCAAAGTGAGACAGGGAAATAAATGGTTCTATCTTTTGAATATAAAAAAAAACTTTATCTAGAATATAGGAAATAAATGGCTCTGAGGCTTACTTATGCATAAAAGCTCTTCTCTTGGCTTGTTCACATCTTTGGATTGCAACAACATCTGTAACAAAAAAATATAAGAGAGATATGTCTCTAATATCTTTATCTGCTGGTAAATTTAACCGTTTCATTTTATCTCCTGCTTAAAAATCTTGAGGGAGAGGGTTTACCAACCTCTTGTCCTTCACTACTCTTATACCACTAGATAAAATACAATGAGCCTTTCACAGAAACTATTTTTAGACTATAGGAAATTTTGTCCACTTCTTCATAGTACCTCTAGTTAAAAAAACAAGAGGCCCACGGGCCTTATGGGTCACCTGAGTATCATGTTAGAACTTTCCAGCGATTGTATTTGGTTTGTGTTTTAATCCAAAAGCCATGAAATTTACAAATTTTGAAAGAGGCACCATTGCTTCTCAAAGGGCAGATTTCAAAGCATTAATCTATTTTTAGTCAAAGTACCCCCCTGGTACCCCTGACCCAGCAGCCCTGAAATTATCTATTTTGCAAGAGGCCCCTTTCTTCATTATAAGGCCAGCATTTTTTTTTTAATGTTTAGGTTTAGTTGTGAACATGAGAATAAAAAGGTCCCAAAGGAGAAGGAAATAAATAAAATTTTTGATTAATCAATTATTAACATTTGTACATTCTTTTTTTATGCTATCCTAATAGGCTCCTTACCACTGGACACATAATGCTTACAAATAGGAAAGTAGAACATTTAATTGCTTATTTCATCATCTGCCAGTTTGGACTAGTTATATAAATTTTGTGATGTTGAACAAAATATATTTTAAAAAATTCAATTCTTTAAAAGTCTTTCAATATATCTTCATTTTTTTAATATGTGTTAGGTGAATGTGTAGACAATGTTCTAAAATTTACTTGATGCCTAAAATTATAATTCCTATCATAAAACAGACAGGGAGTATTGGGGAGTAGGGTCAACATTTTTTCAATTAAGTGTAAAATAATTTTTTCTGGCTGATACAAATGATACTACATGCCTGTATATAGTTGTATATTCTTGCCTTTTAATAGTTGAATTTTTTTATTTCTTCAGGTTATTGTTTATTTCTTCCTCAAATGGACTTCACTTCTCCCATAGTTTTATTCATTACATCTGATGCATAAGCAACCCTTTTCTGAAGAATGATGCTTAGACTGTAAGCTATAACAGAGACCTAAACAATGTCCCTGGCAATATGCAATAGCTACCACGGGCAGTTTAAAATCTGGGGGAGGAAAATAATTTACAGTTATTTTTGAAACGAATACATGATTATCTCACCAGCATGTCATTGTGCAACAAAGTCGTCTGCATTTTATTTATCCTTTGAACGGGTGAAAAGTTTTGAATGGCACTCTTATCGATGAATTTTACACTAAACCAGGCTATCTTCTTCTCAGATTTAGCTTTATTTACCCGCCGTTTCAAACCGGAAGTGCGAGTTCGTAAATTTGAAATGTCGATCCCGACTCAAATTTGACATCGGAAAGAAAAAATTGTTTTATTTTTTTCTGAAAATTCAAAATCTTGAGAGGGTTTGTAAAACTGAAAATAAAATAAATCCTGGCCATAAATATGTAATAAGATCATTAGCATAATAACCAGGAGCAAAGGATAAGATGTTCAAAGAATTCATGCATTTCACTATATAATCATTAGAGCCCCATCCTAAAACAAGAACCCCTGACCCTGGGGCCATAAAATTCACAATTTTGGTAGAGGCACTCTTGCTTATCATAACTATGTACTTAGTTTATTTAATACCCAGGAGCAGAGAAGAAGATTTTCAAAGAATTGATGTATTTTCACTATATAATCAATAGAGCCCCGCCCTAACACCAGAACCCCTGACCCTGGAGCCATAAAATTCACAATTTTGGTAGAGGCACTCTTGCTCATCATAACTATGTATTTATTTGGTTTATTTAATACCCAGGAGCAGAGAAGAAGATTTTCAAAGAAATAATGCATTTTCACTACCTACTTATTTAGCCCCGCCCTAGCACTAGAACCCCTGACCCCAGGGCCATGAATTTCATAATTTTGGTAGAGGACTCATTTGTGATTACAATCATGCAAACAGTTTGACTGCTTGATGTCCAGGAGTAAAGAAGAAGATTTTTAAAGATTGCATTAATTTTAGTGGTTTTGGCCCCACCCCTCAGGCCCCAGGGGTGCAGGGATCATGAAATTCACAATTTTTGTTCCCCTTCACCCAGAAATGCTTTGTGCCAAATTTGGTTGAAATTGGTTCAGTGGTTGCAGAGAAGAAGCTGAAAATGTTCAAATGTTAACGCACGACGAACGACGCACGACGACGGACGAAAACAGATAGCAATAGGTCACCTGAGTTTACTCAGGTGACCTAAAAAGCATCATAAATCTATTCATGAAGCAATCTTTAAAGTTTTTTTTTAATTGCTGTTGACAGAAGGATGCCAAATCTTATGATCTACAAGACCTACCTGGTATTCCTTGAGCTTTCCATTCACCATGATGGTAGCCTGTTCAGTGACATGTTCATGGACCGTGTGAGCCACTCCATAGTAACTTTTCTCCTCTGTCTTGGTGGCATTGCGGTGATATTCATCATCCACTTCTTTGGAGGCTTGACTAGAAAATATCCATTCTATGTTATACTTTGCTCTTTGGAGGAAAAACTTCCATTTTGATTAAATCATATCTTAACTATAAGTAATATTTTCTGTGAGTAAACCTGCTTAGAATGAACTGACAATTATATCTAAGATTTTAGTTCTTACTTTATGACTTCCTGAGCCAAGCCTTCATCAATGTCATCAGGGCTAGTAAGCTGTAAAGAAAAGTTAAATTTTGAATGTGTTCAAATATTTTTTTTCCAAATCACTCATTAAATGAAGTTTGGTATTAAAACATTTTTTCTGAATTCTGCACACATAATATTGTACCTTGGGTAAAGTTTTTTCTGGCTTGGCTGGTATCACTTCCTCCTGTTCAACCTAAAATAAATAGAAGATTTAAACATGCATTACAAATCTGACATTGTTTGTATCAAGATGTTTCAGATATACACCACTAATTTATCTGTAGATTTCTATTATCCCTTACCTCCTCCTCCTCTTCTTCTGACCCAGATTCCTCTCCATCCTCCCGAGGCGCCACCTCATATCTGTTAAACAAAACATATGATTCAAAAATACAATGCAAGAAATTTGTTTCTATTAAAATGAATGCTTTTGATGAGACAAATCAAAGGAATATTGCCTTACTTTGCACCACAAAGCATGTTTATGGTGGGGCGTAAAATTACTTGTTGTAAATTGTATATGTACCCTGGATTTAATTCCAGCCAGGCCTCGAGTTGACTTGCCAGTGGAGCCTCATCACCAGTCAGAACTCTCCCTGTGGATGTCTCAATCACAGATACTCTTATCTCACTCATGTTAGAGTCTCCATCCTACAAATATCAGACATTGTGTCAAAAAGTTTACACTGAGCACTTCTAATTTCTATTTTGCTAAAAAAGATACTACTCTGCATACTTCATAAATGTTATGGAATTTTTTTTAGGTTCATGCATATTCTACAGCGTATATCCAGTAATAACAAACTACATTTAGAACAGTTAAAATACCTCTAGTTTGTCTTCCTTCTTCTTCTTACGTCGCTTCTGTTTTTTCTTCTTCAGATCCTCCTTGTGTTCAGCCACCAGAGTCATCAGGTTAGAGATGTACTCATCTGTCTGAGCCGGCAGATAGGCAAGACGTTTGTCCTTCTTCTGGTCAATCAACTTCCTGTAACCTTCTTCATCCTCAGCCTGTGGAAAAAAACAGCAATAATATACTATGTACAACTTAACTATTGTAACTGACTGATTCAAGTAAAGAGATGTTCCTAATGCTCCTTCTTGTTTTCAAAACCATAAAATTTTCGTACATTTATTCAAATACAACTGTCACTAGAAATGTTCCTTACCATGAGTCTTCTCATACGTTCTTTCTCCAGGCGTTCCTGCTCTTTCTTTTGTTCACGCTCAGTGTTTGCGTGATGTACCATCATAGCCTTACCAAGGTGCAGAGAAGAAAACTTTCAAAGATTCAATGTATTTTCACTTTATAAACAATAGAGCCCCGCCCTATCACTAGAACCCCTGACCCTACGGCCATAAAATTCACAAATTTGGAAGAGGTAATCTTACTCATCATAACTATGTAATTAGTTTATTTCATTCCTAGGAGCAGAGAAGAAGATTTTGAAAGAATTCGTGTAATTTCACTATATAATCTATAGACCCCCCTACACCAGAACCCCTGACCCTGGGGCCATAAAATTCACAATTTTGGTAGAGGCACTCTTGCTCATCATACAGTAACTATGCATTTAGTTAGTTAATTCAATATCCAGGAGCAGAGAAGAAGATTTTCAAAGAATTCATGAATTTTCACTACAGGTGACTCTCGATGGCTCGAACTCCGATCTCTCGAAGTTCTCTATCTCTCGAAGTGAACCTCCGGTCCCGTTTTTTTCCTCTATATAACTAAGCAAATTTACTCCTGATCTCTCGAACTTCCATCTCTCGAAGTTCTCTATCTCTCGAACCAAAACCAAGGTCCCGTTACACATATTCCATTGAATTTTACTCTCTATCTCTCGAAGTTTTTATTGCGCGTGTATACACGCCAATCAAGCGTAAAATTGATGCAGTCTGTACTTACCTGGAAACCGTGAAGGCCACGGGCTGGCATGGAGGTGTTAATTAGGTGTTTACATAGATGACACTACACCTGTGAGTCATCCGTGTGTTGTTATAATTAATTGGCTATTATTCACAGAGTAAATTAGAAAAAAAATTACAACTTATATTGAATTGAAACCGAGACGATAATTTTTTAAAATTAATTTATAGATGTTCGTTTCAGTAAGTTCCCATAGATAATAAACTTTCATGATGATTATATAGAGTCTACATAATCCCAGTATGGGAAATATTCACAAGAAATTCTTTTCTCAAGGACAGAATACCGATTTTAAAAAATCTGGTGAACACTTGTGAAGGACCCGACCAAGCCAAGGAATAGCCAAACCTACAATATGCTTTTCGGGTTTCATGTAATCATGAAATAGGAACAAATAAATATTAAATCTTTAGGAATTCGTTTTATTTATTCAAAATACAATAACTGTTGTTGATATCAAGTAAAGAATGGGTGCACTTAAGTACGTCATTTGGAACCTTTTCGGCTACCCATTTTAAGCTTAACATTACAATATATCGCTAAATTAATCTATGATTTATGTGCAAGCATATGCTTTTGATATTTATTTCTAGATTTTTTGTCATACATATTTCTATATTTACAGAAAATGTAATTGAAAAGAACATGTAAAAGCCTTAAATTCCGGAAATTTGAACGGGACCACTTTCGAATCTAAGGTATCCGCAAATAGGCGGAGACATTTAAACCGCATGGTTGTGGAATGTAAACATTAGCACATATGATTTTTTCGCATTGCGAATTGAAATGGAGAAGAGAGAGAGAGATCGTGTTGATTTCATGGTGCACAATTATTAAATGATTCTAATGTTAAGGGATGGGGTAAATGTCTCGCTGTGCTGACCATATTACAGAGGCGACATAAGCCTATACATGTACTTACTAATGACACTGTCAATACCAGAATTCTTTCAAAACACCCCTAATGAAAAGCATAAAGATAAATAAGAGATATATTATCTTCAAACCCTATTAAAATTTGCGCAAAAATCTCCCATAGTTTCAAGTTGGAAGTACGATAGATAATGTCACAACAGAGACTTAAACACAATGAAATTTTCAATGAAAGCGTTAGCGTATCGAACAGCAGAAGGTCACGTGAGAAAGGTGATTATAATATCAATCGTTGTTGCTCAGTGACCGCTTAATTTAGTAGCTATCTCGACCCTAGTTTGGGGACATTTTTTTGAAAATTAGATATGAGCCGCAACTTGGCCAACATTGTCCTTTGGATGTGTATAAGTTTAAATTAAAATACATATTCTGTGCAAATGAAACCAATGGCCAAGTTGCGGCTCGATGTAAACAATGTCGTTGAAAACTAGTATGATAAATATGAATAACAATAGAAATGAGACAAAACTGTTAGACCCCCGTCTCAAAAGCTAGTGTCGCTCGGCGTTATTTAATACTTTCATGTAATATAATATACCAAAACCTGCCATTTAGACATTGTTTAATACCTATAAAACATAAATTTAATGAATTTTGGAACTTTATTTTGCGCAAAACATCGGGATCCAACTCTCATAGCTTAAGTGCACTCATTCTTTAATTACCTGTAAAATACGATTGAAAACGTGCAATGACATTATTTACATATACTTCCGGTATTTGTAAAAGTAGAACTTCGACGATCGGAACTGAAAATTCCGGATTTTATTCACTTTCCATCTCTCGAACCCCTCGATCTCTCGAACTTTTCTCGCGGTCCTTTGAACTTCGAGAGATCGAGAGTCACCTGTATATAATCTATAGAGCCCCCCCCCCCTACACCAGAACCCCTGACCCTGGGGCCCTAAAATTCACAGTTTTGGTAGAGGCACTCTTGCTCAACATAACTTATGCACTTAGTTAGTTAATTTAATATCCAGGAGCAGAGAAGAAGATTTTCATAGAATTCATGTATTTTCATTATATAATCTATAGAGCCCCCCCCCCCTTACACCAGAACCCCTGACCCTGGGGCCATAAAATTCACAATTTTGGTAGAGGCACTCTTGCTCAACATAACTTATGCACTTAGTTAGTAAATTTAATATCCAGGAGCAGAGAAGAAGATTTTCAAAGAATTCATGAATTTTCATTATATAATCTATAGAGCCCCCCCCCCCTTACACCAGAACCCCTGACCCTGGGGCCATAAAATTAACAATTCTGGTAGAGGCACTCTTGCTCAACATAACTTATGCACTTAGTTAGTAAATTTAATACCCAGGAGCAGAGAAGAAGATTTTCAAAGAATTCATGTAATTTCACTATATAATCTATAGAACCCCCCCCCCCCTACACCAGAACCCCTGACCCTGGGGCCATAAAATTCACAATTTTGGTAGAGGCACTCTTGTTCATCATAACTATGCACTTAGTTAGTTAATTTAATACCCAGGAGCAGAGAAGAAGATTTTCAAAGAATTCATGTAATTTCACTATATAATCTATAGAGCCCCCCCCCCCCTTCACCAGAACCCCTGAACCTGGGGCCATAAAATTTACAATTTTGGTAGAGGCACTCTTGCTCATCATAACTATGTACTTAGTTAGTTTATTTGATACCCAGGAGCAGAGAAGAAGATTTTCAAAGAATTCATTAATATTCACTATATAATCTATAGAGCCCCACCCCTACACCAGAACCCCTGACCCTGGGGCCATTAAATTCACAATTTTGGTAGAGGCACTCTTGCTCATCATAACTATGCACTTAGTTAGTTTATTTAATATCCAGGAGCAGAGAAGAAGATTTTCAAAGAATTCATGTAATTTCACTATATAATTTATAGAGCCCCCCCCCCTTCACCAGAACCCCTGACCCTGGGTTCATAAAATTCACAATTTTGGTAAGAGGCACTCTTGCTCATCATAACTATGTACTTAGTAGGCTTATTTAATACCCAGTAGCAGAGAAGAAGATTTTCAAAGAAATAATGCATTTTCACTATATACTTATTTGGCCCCGCCCTAGCACTAGAACCCATGACCCTGGGGCCATGAATTTCACAATTTTGGTAGAGGACTCAATGCTGATTACAATCATGCAAACAGTTTGACTGCTTGATGTCCAGGAGTAAAGAAGAAGATTTTTAAAGATTGCACTAATTTTAGTGGTTTTTGCCCCACCCCCCAGGCCCCACGGGGGCAGGGACCATGAAATTCACAATTTTTGTTCCCCTTTACCCATAGATGCTTTGTACCAAATTTGGTTGAAATTGGTTCAGTGGTTGCAGAGAAGAAGCTGAAAATGTTCAAATGTTAACGCACGACGAACGACGCACGACGAACGACAACGGACGAAAACAGATAGCAATAGGTCACCTGAGTTTACTCAGGTGACCTAATAAAACAGGAGGTGCACAATGGTATTATATTATGAAGATTCTGCAAGTCTGCATGGTGAAATTTTACTCAATGGTATATGGGGAGTTACAGAATAGAGATGGGTACTCTCAATGTTCTTGAAGGAATGGCAATGCTCGATTTTTTTTTACTGGAAACCTCAAATATCTGATCAAAAAGTGAAATAGAAAGCATACAAAAGCATTATATTGTAAAGATTCTGTGAAAGTCTTATCTACTTGAATTCGAGTTTCCCCAATGTTAATTCTAAGTAGGCAACCCAACGCACAGAGAGATAGCTTTTGATATTAATTTTGATATTAATTCAAAAACTTTGAGAGATAGATGTTTGGACATATATCTTAAAACTTGAGAAATATTCATAGTTAAGTCATTATTTGGATGTAATACTGTGACATGCTTGTCAAAAAGGGCATAAAACTTTGAAATTGATCAAAGAGCCCACTAGCCTTTAAGTTGCTAATCACTGTTCTTAACAAATTCAAGTAAGGATATTTTCACAATGATAATTTTGCATGGACCACCACTATTTACTAATACATGTACATGTTAGTCAATCAGTAAACAAGTACATTATGTATATTGAAAATTCGCCTCAGCACTAAGTAACTAATACATACTCTGTCACATTGCAACACCTGCATGCTCTGTGGAACATAAACATGTCTAGCCCCTTTGGTGAACAATGGCTTGGACGGCATTCTGCCCTCTTCCTCCTTCTCCTCATCTGACTCTTCACTTGTCTCATCGGAATCTGTTTCCTCAACCTCATCATTCATGCTCTTTCCTTTGGAATAGCTTAATGGCTTGGTGTGTATTCCTAATCCTCTTCCCCTATCTTTCCTCCCTACTGATTTTCCACTCTCTTTTATTGATGAAATAATCTTTGTACTTTCCTCTATTAAACCTATATCCTCTTCACTTGAATCCTCTTCTTTTTCAATATCCTGGTCACTCATACTCTTCCCTTTGGAATGCATCAATGGCTTGGTCTTAAATCCCAAAGTTTTCTCATTATCCTCCTTCTCACTTCCTTCTTCACTCACCTCTGTAACATGTAATGATTTTAGTTTTGCAGGTTTCTTAATTTCATCTTTTTCTTCTTCACTCATTCCAACAACATCCACAGTTGAATCTTCACTTGTCTCAGCAATATCCATGTTGGAATCTTCCCTCTCATCTTCCTCCCCTAGTAAATTCACATCCAAAAGCTGTTTCCTGGATGACATGGATGTAACACCATCTTCAACTGCCATGTCCATACAAGTGATATATGATTCTTGTTCCAATCCAGGTGGAGGTGCAGCAATCTGTGGTAATGAAATGCTTGTAAGATTGTAACAATGTTACAAAAGAAGAGGCCCATGGGCCACATCGCTCAACTGAATAACTTTGGCCATTCTGTCATTTAATATATTTCCCTCTTTGAAATACCTATTTTGACCCTTGCCCAATCCCAATGGGCCATGATTCAAACAATTTAAAATCTACACTACACAAAGATGCTTCCATAAAAGTTTCGCCTTTTCTGGCCCAGTGCTTCTTGAGAAGAAGATTTTTAATGATTTCTCAATGTAAAACTTGGATTCCCTATTGTGGCTCCGCCCTACCCTCAGGGGTCATGATTTAAATTAGCTGCAGATCTGTAGCGTTATGGTTTTATATATTTGTCTTTGACCATAACGCTACAGATCCCGTAGTGCAAAAAAAGTGCAATTTACAGCGCAATATTTTTTGAGCTCTTGTGGGGAGAATTTCTCCACTTTCTAGCTTTGGTCAATCAACTACCTTTCACTCCCTAATTCTAGACACATTCTGTAGCCAATATGTATAGTTTATCCACCTCCCAACCATTTATAGTTGTCTCTACAGGCAATAAACTCGCTGGATATGAATTTTCAGTAATCTAACAAATAATTTTAATCAAGCGAGTTTATCACTTGTAGAGACGACAATAAAGGGTTGGGAGATGGATAAAATATACAGATTAATTAAATAATGTGTCTAGAATTAGGGGTTAAAAGATAGTTGATTGAACGATGCTGGAAAGTTGAGAAATTCTCCCCAAAAGAGCGCAAAAAATATTGCGCCGTAAATTGCACCTTTTTTGCACTACGGGATCTGTAGCGTTAAGGTCAAAGACAAATATATAAAACCTTAACGCTACAGATCTGCAGCTAGATTTGAATAAATTAGAAACTACACTACCCAAGGATGCTTCCACATAAGTAAAATTCTAATGAACATACTACTTTGGCACTTTATACAAGGTTGAGTTTAACGATATTTGAATTATACATCATTCTGCTTTACCTATATTCAAGCTAAATCAAATTTGTTTTTTATTAAACTGTCTATTCACTGCATTCACAGTTTTACATAATAAAATTTACCTGTTGAGTCTCTGAATCTGATGGACCTGGCCCTCCCCTCAAACGAAGAACTAGAAATATGGTGGAATTTGCAGGCATACCTTATTGAAAGAAATTTGTATATTTTTGTTATATATCATCAATTACACCAAGAGTCACTAATTATCGTTAACAAAGGATTTGTCAATCAAGTCTAAAACATTTTTAAAGTTATGATCACATGTAGTTTCATTTTTGTTAACCTCTGGATTCATTTAAACAATTAAGATAATCATCATTCAAAAAGTTACAGCAAATTTCTTATACAAGTGACTTGATACTTGTACACTGTAAATCCTCCTTGTACAGTAAAACACAGTTATAACAAAGTCGACGGGACCTGTGAAATTACTTAGTTATATCTGTAATTGTTAAATTTATATAGCTGCGGATCCAAGATAACTTTGTTATATTCCTGAATACGCAACATCGGTGTTTGTACTAGACGAGTTTCACTGTATTTTAGGAGTGTGAATCTTACTGAATAGCCATTGCATGGAAAAAATTGACAAATTCTGTTGTGATAGGAATTACTGTTTGCTTATTATTCAACATACCGAAAATGTGAATATCTTTAAGGGTTAAATTTTTTTCAAGCATATGTGTGGGGTTTATTTTTGAGTTCATGCATTTATAAGTTTCTAATATGTGTCACGTTTGTTTCGTATGTTTCCTTTTCTGAAGCCATTTGCGTGGTGATAATATTTTACAAAATTTATCACCTGCAGAGAAAAAAACTCACCATGCAAACATTTCAATGCTTACTGTGCACAAAATCATTTGTATTTTGAAGTTTTTAGTCATTTTGTTAATCAGTCAAATACAGGCTTACAAAGAGACTCACCTAAATTATCAGTGTTTTGGAGTTGTTTGCCATTGTAAATCAGCCGTATGCAGTCCTCTGGTATGCCCTCTTTATTCATGATTTCGGATTTCAACTCAGCCATATTTCCAGCTGTAACCTGTATAGATCTTCCCGTCAGGGTTTTCACTATCAGTGGTTTAGGAACTAAAATAAAATAATTTGCAATAAACAGTTTACCAGTCTCTGTTTATGAAATTCATGGAAAATATATGAAAAGATTGTACAGGATATCAAATTTGTTGTTGTTTTTTTTTATCTAGCTGGTCCAAAGCTACTAGGTAATAGAGCCTGTAGGCCCAAATGCAGCAGGGTTTAGATATTCAGATAACTTTGTTCTCTTTCATCAATATAAATGTATATGTATGCTACCTAAAGTTGCTTTAATCATTAGATAACTGGGAACAATACAGTGAGGTCTCCTGATAGGCCTCACATTTGACGTATCTTCATTTTTATCTCTGATCTACATGACTGTAGGAAATAAAACCCCTCGGATACTTATTCAAGCGGTTTCAGGTCTCCATTTTACTGTATTGTCATTAAAATAAGTAAGAGACTAACTTAAAAATCTCATTTCATGAAACGTTAACTGCCATCAACATGATCAAGCTGAGTAACCTTAGATAATTTTTTTTTATTCAATAGTTGGAGGAACGCTCATTTTATACAATCCTCCGTGTATCTACCGGGTACATGTATTCCAATTATCAGAGTATAAATGTGCAAAGCAGACATCTTACCGGGAAGAGATTTATGGAACTGATACTGAATTTTTCTGGCATTTTCAGAATCTTGACTGGAAAAAAATTGATCAATGGCCTCCAGAACCTGTGAAAAATCCATCAAAATAACAAATAAATTTCATAATACAACAGGACACTCAATATGTCAAGTTTTGAACTATGACGGGTGATCAAAAAGTTCACGAACTACTTCTATATTTACAAAACCTCAATTCAGATCAGAATGAAATTTGGCACACATAAATTCATACACATGTTCTATAAAATGCATATGTAATGGAACATTTTTTCCTGTGTTTGTGACGTCACAATGTGAAAATGACGTCATAAGGTAGATCACTTGTGACAAAAAATGGTTGACTCAGTCGTATTCAAGAAATGAACGGCTGTAAAGCTAAACGTATATCTTGGAAATTCCTTTGTAAAAGTTTATAATGATTTGTATAAGGTTTATGAAGATAAGCGACTTTCCAGAAGTATTGTCATTAATTGGATTGATTGTGTAAGTAAAGGAAGGGAGATGTTTAAAAATGATGTTTGTTCTGTTGCCCAGTAAATGCAAACTGGGAAAGAGACGTGTCCTTTGTTAAGCGATTTGATAAGAAAAATCGCCAACTTACAGTAAATGAAATAGATTAATATCTTTACAATAATATAATCATCAAATCCCTATAATATTGTTTACCTTAGACTTTAAACATATCAGATATGATAAAGTGAAGGCACCCATACTTTATCCACAAGAAATAAACAACGCTCAAAAGACAGAAGACTTGGGTTTTGATGGTTACCATGCTCATTCTGCAAAAAGGTATCATTATCCACCCATACTATCATTGAGATTAAGGCAACGTCTGACAAATGGACTGTTTTTGTTGGAAAAAATAACCTGCATGGAAAGAAATATAAGAGTCTGAAAAAATTTAAAGCTTCTGTGACAGAATGCTAAGGAGCATGTCACGTGACCGCCAATATTACGTGATCCTCGCATGGGCAGAATGGTTGCAGATGCGCATTAAAATCGGTGAGGACTACGTTGAAACATTTTCAACACTGAAACCCTATATCATTTCTTTTTTGAAAGTTATTCAATTAGTTTGCCAACTTTTTGATCACCCCTCATATATGAGACAGTCTGACCTCTTAAGTTTCAAATTCACTTGAACAAGCAAGAAGTAAATTAAACTGTTCTTGAACTTTCCTTTTCCTGCAAAGATTTATAAGGAAGTACATGTATGTTCATAGTAAATAATCTTTGTATTTCACCTTTTCTGCTAGGTCTCTATTTTCTTCCTCCATTAGGTCCGCTGTGTAGTCGAGGACAGACAGGTAACACCGCTCGGCCTCTATCTGGGAGAAGCTCTCAGCAATGCTGGCCTTCCTCAGCAATTCCTCCACACAATGTACAGGCTCCTATTTATAAATAATGATCTTGATAATGATTTACAGGTGTTTTGATATTAAGCTTGTGCAATGTGCATTTAGTATTATACACACTTGAAGGATTTTTTTCTAAACATGTACAAAACAACGAAGTTGTATTTTTCATCTAAATACTGTATACAGTTATTTGCGCCCCATGATATTTTCGCCCTTTTCCACTTGCAAACAATTTTGTCCAATTTTAAATTTGCCCAGTTACAGTTTTGTTTAAGAAATTATACTGTATTATGTGAATTCGCCCCGTTTTAAATTCGCCCAAATAACGGTAGGGCGAAAATAAAACGGGGCGAAAATTTCCCTGTATACAGTACAGTGCACAGCAAAACTCGGTTATAACTAAGTCACTTGGACCTATGAAATTGCTTTGCTACATCCGTAATTTGTTGTATCAGTGTAAGAAATTCATCAAATTTATAAAGATGTGGATCCAAGATGATTTCGCTATATCTGTGAATTTGCAATATCCATGTTCCTACTACATGAGTTTTGCTGTATAAGAATTTAATATGTACATGTATGAAACACAGCAATTACGAATGTCCCTGGAAATGGTCTGCAACCAAGTTTTACTGTAGTTTAAACATTAAAGCTAGATGTGCAAATACTGACTTTACTAGTCATTATTCTTCATATTTACATTCATATCACTGAATGGAGAAAGGTAAATAAATCCAAAGTACCGATACAATGCCCACTCCCTTTTCCACAGAGTAATCAAAGCCCCCTTTCTGATACTGCTGGTAACTTAAAATTTCATGAACTTATTTTTACAAACCTTGTCATCCATGTTGTCTGGGTTCATCCATCCTATGTATGTTAAAATATCCACAGATTCCAAGTCCAGCAACTCCTGAATGCTTGGACCCTCAGTTACCTCCCCCTAAATGTGATAAAAATTTTTATATTATATCTTTACCTTTCAACAATCCATACATAAAGAATATAAGTATAATTCAAAATATTTAAAATTCATCATCCTACTGTCAACTAACTAAAAGCTTATTATCATGACAATGAGTTTCATTTTACAAAATTGTAATTACAGGGAAATATGCAGTTGAATTAGATTGAATCCAGTCAAGCCAGAGTTATCTTTCTAATCAGAGTGTCAATGAACCTTAAATTTCTGAAAACTAAGCTTACAACTAGCCTACCCCAAATTTCAAGATCTGATAATGATGAATGTTTGTGCCACTACACATTTTCACCCATACCTCACTCCTTTCTTCCACTGCTATAAAGCTGGTATATGGAGTCACAATACCAAACTCTTTACTGAGTTCAATGATGTGCTGCTTCCTTTCCTGTTTTATCATCTTTTATGAAAAAGAAAAAATGAATTACATTGTCATTTGACAAATATACAATGTACTTTACATATCTATGGTATTCCAATATCGACGATCAGCATATAGAAGTTCAGCTGTATGTAATGGGAGCTATTGTCAGAATTTGCTGTATTTTTGGGGTTACCTTGTGGTCCACTTTACAGTCACTCAGAACTCCATCTTCGTAATCCCTAATGACAGCTCTGGCTGCAAGCTGGTGCAACATCTACATAAATTACTCAGTAGATGATTAGAAGATAATTATATCCACATTATTTCTATAAAAAATTTAAAGTAAAAAAGAGCTTTTTTTCTGTAGTGAGTTTTTAAACAAACCTTTCCTTCAGTAAAATTAAGTTCAGTTGTTGAAACCATGGTTTCAAATTTTTGTCCATCAACATTTGCCATCAATTTTGCCTGTATAAAATTATTCATACAATTAATTGCTAATATTTGGCCAAACAGATATGGATTAAAGCCAAGAAATCTTTTTTAAAAATTTGCATCTGATTCTTTTAAAATGAAAACTGAAGTTTTATCTTGAAAGCATTTTCATCTTATGTATGAAATTATTTTGCTTTAATTTCCACTTTTTTAATGTTTAAACTTATTTAAAATATTTTTTTTCTCTTCCACATATGACTATTTTTGAATTCAGGAAGCAATAAAACTGAGTTGCAATACCTGTGTACAATTCCTGACAAATCCATATACCACTTGTCTGGAACCACTGAATAAACTAGGGATCCGACAAGGTGCCTGGAGGGGTGGATCATGCTTATTGGTGGACGTACCCCACTCCACCTGGACGAGAGATATGCCTGGTCTTGTGGCCTGTTCTACTTGTGATGCAATCTATTAATAAAAAATTTGTCATTTTTAAGTACCCAATAATCTTTATGGAAGGTTCAATATTACTAAAATATAATTTGAAGTTTCTCTGAAGTTATCATGCAAGCAATTAAACTTACTATTTATTTTTCATTAGTCATTTAAATTCTATACATGACAGATACATTAGTCAGCTAACATAATTTTTTTCCCTTGTTACAAAAAGTAATTAAGACAATAATACACTCACTTTGTCTGGCCATTTTGACTTTGTTTTGCTGTTGTAGTACTCATACGTCCCCCCTCCATGATTAGCCAAGCTACGTAATGTATGACTGTCTCTATTATTCCTGGAAAGATATTGATGGACAGCATACTAGCTGGTATATTTCTCCATTTTTATCAAACTTGATTAAAATATTATTATTTCAACAAATACACGTACATGTAACAAGAGGCCCCTGGGCCACATCGCTCACCTGAGAATCTTTTGTCATATATTGTTCTTTACCAGATTTCCCCCTTGTAATACATATTGTGGCCCCGCCCTACCCCCTGGGGTCATGATTTGAACAATTTAGAATCTACACTACCCCAGGGTGCTTTCACATCAGTTTCAGTTTTTCTGGCCCAGTGGTTCTTGAGAAGAAGATTTTCAAAGATTTTTTCTATATATTTCTATGTAAAACATTGATGCCTCATTGTGGCCCCGCCCTACCTCCGGGGGTCATGATTTGAACAATTTAGAATCTACACTACCCCAGGGTGCTTTCACATCAGTTTCAGCTTTTCTGGCCCAGTGGTTCTTGAGAAGAAGATTTTTAAAGATTTTTCCTATATATTTCTATGTAAAACTTTGATTCACCATTGTGGCCCCGCCCAACCCCCGAGGGTCATGATTTGAACAATTTAGAATCTACACTATCCAAGGGTGCCTCCACATAAGTTTCAGCCTTATTGGCCCAGTGGTTCTTGAGAAGAAGATTTTTTAATGACCCCACCCTATTTTTGTCTTTTCTTGATTATCTCCCCTTGTGAGGGGACTTGGCCCTTCATTTTAACAATTTAAATTCCCCTTCACCCAAGGATGCTTTGTACCAAGTTTGGTCAAAATTGGCCCAGTGGTTCTTGAGAAGAAGTTGAAAATGTGAAAAGTTTACAGACGGACGGACAGACAGACAGACAGATGGACAGCTGGACAGACGGACGGACGATGGACAAAATGTGATCAGAAAAGCTCACTTGAGCCTTCGGCTCAGGTGAGCTAAAAATTACAAGTAGTTCTCACCCAACTCCCAGACAAAACAGCCTATTTTTGGCACCATTAGTGGCAACAGTTTGAAATAGAGCCCTCTTGTTACCAACAAATCCATCAGAAATCAAAAAGAGGCTCCTGCTGCCCTCTGCAGGGCTTAGCAAGATAAAAGATTTCAGGGGAGACAACACATCACTGCATCCCATCACAGGATTGGCAGTCTGAAAATATTCAATGTGTTCTTTAGAGTAATTCTGTTAATTCTATGGATTTCAAATGATCCATAATAAAATTCGTATTTTAATGCACAATAAATTGGCTTGACATTTTCTTTTTTCTTCACAATCAAACACATTTCTGTTACACAGTCATTAAAAGTATAATGAGCACACATATAAATGTCAAAGTACCTCTAGGTATTTTATGGCCTCATCTGTGGAATTCTTTGTAATTTTCTGAGGAAACTGAAAGAGCTCTTTAAAGAAAGACCCGAAAGCCACAATGTTAAAGGTAGCCTTCTCTGGCAGGTTGTCCAGAGCCAGTAATAACACCTACAAAACAATGCTTAAGCAAATGTTTACTTATTTTGAATCCGCTATCAATAAAACTCTTTTTCAGATTTGTGTCTTTCATATGCATGTTATTACAAGGGTATGTTTAAACTATTGTACTTTTCTGGCATCTCTGAATGGATCCCCCTTCATGGAGTTTGACAAATCCAGTAGAAATATGACCTCTGGGCTGGGGTCAATGGCTGCCTCAAACTCTGGGTAGAAGGCAAGCATACAAGCCTGAAAGGTAATTAAGTTTGTCAAAAGTAAAATATAATCTAGCCATAATTATTTTTTATCACACCGATATGTACATAAGTGCATACTATATCTGTGTTTACATTAAACATTTACAACTTAAGCTTTTTTTATTACTCTTTATTACCGGTACAAACACCTGAAATTATGACATCATTAATGATATCATCAGTGACTTCATGGAAGGATATTTAAATGATATTTTGCAATATCATAATTTTAAACTAGAGGTACTGTGACCAATGAGCTCACTAAATGATACCCCCCGCCTCCAATATGAATATAATGGGTGTCCATGTTTTGTTGTGGGAAACCAAAAATATGTGTCAGATCACAAAAGTTAAATAAGAGGTGCACAATGGCAATATGTAATAAAGATTTTGTGAAAGTTTCATCAAATTTTATTTCGTGGTATGAGAGGAGTTGCGGATAAGAGATGGGTACCCCAAAGCGTAACAGACAGACGGACGGAGAGCTAGACGTACAGACAGATGGAGGGACATAACAATTACTATATACTCTCCCGCTTTTCAAGCTGGGGGTATATAATCAATGTTTGTGGATGATATTTTGGTGATACTATGCTTGATATTCAGATTATGCCCATTAAGATGTGTGACATTTCTTATGAAACACTCTGTATAAGTATCTATGTGTACATGTACATCCACATCCACTACCTGTTGGTCTCTCTCTGGATGACACTCTACCCACATGCGAGGAACATGGATCTCTGCTAAGGTAATCATCAGCTGGAATCCTGCTGTAAACTCACTTTTCTTTGGAATCTCCACTACAGCCTTAGTGGCAGTTTTCTGACGATAAAACAAAATTACAAATTTCTTTGATATATATCAATAGGTAAAAGTAGACTCATGCATTAAGCAATTCTTTAAAAAAAATCTTTTTTAAACATTACAAATAACATCAAACATTTCTGGGCAGTACCAAATTGACTGATTATCCATCTTACTTTGTACTTCAGTCTGTGAGTACTTGATTTCAGTGACCTTATTTCAAATGGCATCTCTATGGCAGCTTGTAGTGATATCTGACAATCCATCGGGTCATGGACTTGTACAACGGTGGTTTCAGACTAGAAGTAGCATAAACATACAAAAAAACCTGTACATGACAAAAACATTTTTATGCTGTTGTATTTACCAGTATTTACAGAAAATTTTTAAGAAATTCTCACGGTAAAAACACATTTCATTTGCGTTAAACCTGTCCTCACCTGAGTTTGTTGGGCGAGCGCTGAATCTGTGACCCAGGGTGCTACTGTTGCTGGAATGGTCAGGGCAATACTGTCCCCTTCCACCTTAAGCTCTGTGATGTATGTCACTTTTATTAGGACCTCAGACTTTGGGGGGAGATTACCCACACTCACAGTAAAAACATCCTAAAAATAGAATTAGTGATAATCACATGAAGATTTTTTATCACATGTATTTACATGAACAAGTATAAATACTTTATAGGTTACTGTGTGTAAATATATATATACACAGGACTCTTAGCAATTAATGTACTTGATATAGCAATAGCTGTTTTCTGTCAAAAGCGATCGATAGCATACACAGCTACATAATGTTTATAGTATCTTTAAGACAGTAAAATAAATTCAAATACATGTACTGATGACACTTACAGGCTCCTCCTCATCCATTAAATATGCACCATGACCTTTGCTAATGGCCTCTCTGTACTCACGATGTGCTGTCTTCTTTTCTTTGATTTCTCCTGCAAATCACATTTAATGGTATAAAATAATTTTCTTATGTTCAGTTTCCCCGTTTAAAACAAAGATATAATTCAACTCCAAAATCAATTTTACTCTGATTATTAACTCCAGCGAATATCTGAAGTAGATATTGTCTGTTCCACTTTGGAAAAACTTACCGTTGTTTTCTACATTATAGATTTGAAATTAATCATATATCTTCCTTTTCTAATTTATTTTGCACTTATATAATTTTCATACTAAATCCCTGTTTAAACCTCACCAATTATTTACTGCATATAAAGTCAAGCTCTCTTACCTATTATGTGCTTTCCATTTATGAATGCTTCAAACCCACACACAGCAGCAGTCTCATCTAGAGGAAACACATACTTAGCTTCTATAGGCTCTGTTATTTTGTTTTTATAGGCCTGCAAAACCACCACCTGTAAAAGAAGAAAAAACACTGTGTAATAGAACAAATATATGTAGTAACAATCTGTAGACCCAACCAGGGCTCGAGCTGTGATTCGCCATTGTCGCCAATTGCGAATTCAATTTTTTTCAAAAGTGGCGAAAAGAAATTCATAAGTGGCGAAAATTAATTTTTTAAATGTACCATGTACAAAATTTGTGTAGTCCTGGTTAGCTCCTTTGTTTATTCAATGTACACAGATAAGTCCCTTTGTTTACTTAATGCAGCAGAGGTGTGAAAACTGAAACCTACATACAGGAAATCACGTCTCGCTTGAACACTAGGTAACTAGCCTGGAGCAATAAAGGGTTACAAAATTGCTTGAAATAATATAATTTGGATTAAACAAGGGGGGATAAAGTGTTATTCGGAGATGAAGTTTGTAAATAAAACATTTTTATCAACAAAATCTGGATCTATGTAGATCAAAGTAAAACATGACGAAAATTGTAAAGAATGGCTTCAAATTTTGCCTAATGTAAATTTTAAAAAGTGTACATTAATATACCATTAACTGACAAAGAGTGAAAAAGAAATTGGTTTGGAAACAGAATTATCTTTAGTTAGTAAATTATACTGAGTTATTTACAATAACAAGAGCTTGCATATTAAATCCTGGAGTCTCCAAGATGTTAAGTTTCAAACCTAATTTTCATTACTTTTCAATTTACTTCTTTTCACAATTAATTAATGAAATGATGAAAATTTCTATTTTTAAAAAATGTCATATTTTTACTAGGTCTGTACCCCCCCCCCCCTCCTTCCCAGGTGAAAAAAATATAAACAAGAGGACATTCTCTGTCAAGAGTTGGCCGATATCAATACAATATCAAATTAATTGTGTAATTTTAACATTATTACTTTTTTTCTTTTTTTTAAATGGATACTACCATAAGCTTTAAACATTACAATTTTAAAACAATATCTGTGTCAATAAACATAATAAAAAAATTGAATAACAAAAAGTGCATTGCATTGTCGAGAAATCAGATGTAAGTATGCCTTTTCTTAAAGCTTGTGTCGCGAAAAGTGGCGAAAAATATTTTCGGTCCAGTGGGAGCCCTGGACCCAACAAACTTCAATTTTTAATATACTGCTCTCTGCCTCAATACAGTTCAAAATACAACAACAATTTAGAAATAACCAAAGTTTTGCATTAAAAAAAAACAAGTAAATTGAATGTGGAGAAACAGGATGTTAACATAATCTAAAGGTTTGTTGAAATTTTTCATGGAGTGTAAATTTACCTTTGCTACCATGTCCATGACCTTGGCCCTGATATGAACCCCTCGTAGTGGGATTTGGATGGACTTTTTACTGCCGATTAAACCGCCGGTCACTTTAGAGAGGGGATCGGGGAGGTTCTTTATGTCAGTAATATCTGTAAAAATATGAAATCTCCATCATATAAGGAACCATTAACAACTTTTCAAATCTAATAATTCAATGAATGGGGAGGGTGATTCTTTTACAAGAAAATCATGCCATTTTCATAAATTCAAACATGATACATGTACTTTATAATTCATAATTTTCACTACAAGTTAAGCGCACTCACTTTATAGTCATGAATTCAAGAAACAATGATAAGTTAAGATTTTTCTATATGTTGAAATTAATCTTTACACAATATCGTTATGAATTCATACACCTACATTTGGGTGCCAAGGGACAAAAATAAGCAAAATCATCAAAACTTATCATCTGAAAAAATAAATGCCTTTACTGTATACCTTTACGATAACATACTTTTCATTTCATATGATAAGAGATTTTTATGAATCCTTAATTTCTTAGGGTCTTAACAAATTCTATTAAAGTAAACTCTATATGGCCATACCAATAGAACTTGATGTAACTGCCATGTTTTCCTCAACTTCAGGTCTTGTCGTGATTGTAGAAATGGGTGGATCACTGGGGAGCGTGAAGAGAACCACATATCTAACTCTCTGCTGCGAGGTGTTGTATATCACAAACTCATCATCCTGTTAGTAAGAAAACAGACATATAATTCTCCTCTGAATATAGAGTTCTATATTCAGATATTGGTAATACATCTTTATATTTAAAGGTCATTCATTTTAAATGAAACTTTAAGAGAGAAATATGAGAAATTACTGCAATTTGTGATTATTTTGTTTTAAAAAAAAACAATGCAACAAGACTTAATATAAAGATCCCCCCAAAAAAAGAACTTCTCAACTACGTAGCCAAATGCAGTATGGTCTATGGTCTTAAAGAACAGTTTTTTAATTAGATGCTCACGTAGAACTTTCCAATAAATGGACTTAAAAGCACATCTATAAAGTTAGCAACTGAATCAAAGCTTCTTAATTAAATGGCATACAAGTAGATCTATACATTAGCCATGCAAGTTGACCAAGACATACCTTATGGTATCTTGCTGTGATTTGACAGTAAAGGTGCAGCATTACTAGAAATTAGGATACAATATTGAATGACTGTAGCCATCTCTTTATTCATCATTCATGATAGCTTGGCTATGCAGGGAATTAGAATTCATTATTGCCAAAAAACTTATGTCTGGTAAGATAACTGCAATGCTTCAGCAACACAGGAGGATTTTGTTGAAGTGAAGGAAAAATAATCTTTAAAAACCTACCATAAAATCTGTTACATTTTCTTCTGTCATTTTCACACCATGACAGCTGTGGTATCCAGTAGGTGGTGCTGTAAGATCAGTTTGTAGAGTGGTGCAGTCACAACAATTTCCTAGCGCGACATCACAGGCTATCAGCATCCTCATTCCTGTGTCACGACTGGGCTCGGCATAGTGAAGGCAGGTTCTGAAATTAAGACATTTAAAGTCATTCAAGCTTATTTACACTTGGTTAAGTTTTCACTTCATTAAGCTTTACTTTGATGCAACAGAGCTACTTTAAATCACTCTTTATTTACAAGATTTTATTTATGTGCAATTACATGAGGCATTTGGTCTATGTAGCAAAAAAAATTTATTTTGATGTTTATTAAAGACAACAATACCCAGAATTTGTGAAAATTTTGTCATGAAAGTATTTGAAGTGTTGCAAAATACGGTGAAAACAGTATAGAGCATACATTCCTTCTCTTAATTGAAACAAGAATTAATTTTGAGTACATATGGTACATGAAATGTACTTTGTTCAAAGTCAATCATTTCCACTGCAGAAAATCAAAACTTGCTTTCATAATACTTCACACTATTTCATAGTTAAGAAATAAAATGTGAATTCAAAATCTAACAAGAGGCCCACGGGCCTTATAGGTCACCTGAGCATTCTGCAACAACTTTCCAGTTATTGAATTTGATTCATGTTTTAAGCCAGATGCTATATGGCATTCACAATTTTGAAAGAGGCACCATTGATCATCATTACACTTAGCAGTTGCTTAGCTTGGTTTATTGATTTGAAAATGTCATAGGATCTTCATGAACGTTTCATGAACATTTCATGAATGAAAAATTCAAGGAAATTCATGAATTATTCATGATCACCTCACTGAATACCCATACGCAAGGTAGGGGAACAAAATTGCATTCCAACTAATCAGTAATATTCAGCAATAATCAGTAGTGCCCCTAACACTGTGAAATAAACCCCTGACCCTAGGTCCATACATTCCACAAATTTTAAAAAGGCACCCTTAAAATTGCCTATCAAACAATAAATAAATGTTTTATAAATACAAAGGAGCAGATTTCAAACAATTAATTCATTTTCAGTATATAAGTAGAGCCCCACCCCCACCCCTGACCCTGGGGCCTTGAAATTCACAATTCTTCAAGATTAGGGCCCTTGCTCATCATAACTATATAGGTAGTTCATCTGCTTCATACCCAGAGACAGAGAAGAAAATTTTCAAAGATTTAATGTATTTTCACTATATAATCAATAGAGCCCCCCCCCCAACAACAGAACCCCTGACCCTGGGACCATAAAATTCACAATTTTATTAGAGCTACTCTTGCTCATCATAACTCTGTACTTACTTAGTTTATTTAGTACCCAGGAACAGAGAAAAAGATTTTTAAAGAAATAATGCATTTTCACTATATACTTATTTAGCGCTGCCCTAGCACTAGAACCCCTGACCCTATGGCCATGGATTTCACAATTTTGGTAGAGGACTCAATGCTGATTACAATCATGCAAACAGTTTGACTGCATGAAGTCCAGGAGTAAAGAAGAAGATTTTTAAAGATTGCATTAATTTTAGTGGTTTTGGCCCCATCCCTCAGGCCCCAAGGGGGCAGGGATCATGAAATTCACAATTTTTGTTCCCCTTCACCCATAGATGCTTTGTGCCAAATTTGGTTGAAATTGGTTCAGTGGTTGCAGAGAAGAAGCTAAAATGTTCAAAAGTTTACGAACGACGTACGACGAACGACGACAGATGAAAACAGATAGCAATAGGTCACCTGAGTTTACTCAGGTGACCTAAAAACAGGCACTCTAATCTGATAGTTTGTATACATCATTTTTAGAATAATTATTATTTTATCTTTACTCAAATGAATTGGAGAAGTAGATTCCATATCCAAGCTTTCCTCCATCAGTTCTGGTAATCCCATGTTCTTCTTCTACTGCTTGAGGTAAAAGTAGTCCCCTAAAATAGGAAAGTAAAATCTTATCAAAATATTGTTTTCATTATGATCATGTTGTCTTCATATGCCCATTGGAGGATATACTGTCTATAATGTATTTCCAGTATACAAAACTATGTATACAAATCAATATACATTGTAGTAGTTTACTTGACTACAAACCTTTATATTTTTTGGTCTTACAAATTAACTATCAGGTAATCAAAGATGTACAGTGAGGTAATAATACCAGACAATGTATGTAGACTTGAGCAGCTTAGACATACAAATAAATTACTGCAGTGTATGATGCAAAGTTTATTTCTTTTTACAAATATCCCAACAGTCTTGTGGATAAGTCTTCAAAAATGTGCAATGCTGCCATCTGATTTCTTAATGCATGGTCATCTACAGTGATGAGCATAAGATTTTTGCTGACCCTAAAAAAGCATACCTTGACAGAATACCAAGGAGATTCTGGGGCCCTGAAGCATGCATCAGCAGCTGAGAATTCCCTATGGAGCCAGATATTTCCTGGTACAAAATGTCCTCTACAGTTCTCCCAACTTCAAAAACATGGTGGATTGTGATGCTTCAAATGAAAAAGAAAATCTTGTTCCATTTTCGGAATGATAGTATTATATGATCAATTGTAAATTCTGAATATGAGAATTATTTCATTCACAATAATGTAATCTTTTAAGAATATAATTTAACACCTTTGTTCTCTATTACTGAAGATGTTTCGAATATCTTGAAATTTGGTGTTTGATTGGTTCAGTTTTGTCATGTGACATCTCAGAGCCTTGTACTTAGCAACAGTGCTGGCAGCAGGAGAGAAATCTGTGGCTTCACTGACAGTCAGTACATCATAAATCAGCTGGGGAAAAACATGAACAATATACGTATATAAAGATATACCGGGTATTAAACATTTGCTTCAAAGTTACCCCTGAAATAATAATCAAATGGTTTTGTAACTCTGCTTTAATACATTGATTTTTCTTTCTTTCTTTTTTTAACTGAAATTAATGTTCATTCCATCTTCCACCCCATTTTATATTCTCTACTCCCAGAATCTGTCAGCCCAGACCCCCTGAAAGGACCCCCTCTCTCTCTCTCCTCCATCAATAAATGACTGTCAGTGGACATGCAATTACACCCCTCCCCCACCTATCAATCAATCCATTAGTAAAATCTACCTGACAAAGATCTAGTTTCTCTGAGATCATCTTAGGGCTCAGGTCATGTGTTATGTACTGCTGTTTGTGGGGTAGGGCTTCCCTATAAAACTTCTCCACCAGCTCTGACAAGCAGTTATCTGATTTGTTCTCCTTCATAATGTGCTTGATCTGCTTTAAAATGGCCATAGCGTCATCCACCTAGAAAAAAACCTTTACAGTCAAACCTCAATATCTCAAACAAAATGAGACAAAGAACAAATTTCCAAGATATCCAACCAATCCAAATATCAAGGTTAATATATTTAGAGAAAAAGCAATTGGGACTTATAACTCACTTCAACTTATCCATGAAGACATTCTAATGTTGAACATGCTTATAAAGAATTGATGCTTTCTGTGAAGTGATTTTTATTTCTATATTGTGTATTTAATGGATATAATGAAGCAAGGTCATCTGTCCCTGGCCCCTAATTATATGTGTTTTACTGTATTCCAGATATGGAAGTTCCAGATACCAAAGTTGAACATAAATTTCAAATGATAATCATCGGTATTGTGTTTTCAGCAAACCAAAGCACACAATATATATGTATTAAAATCCATCTGCTCACTTTATCTATCTTTGTATGCTGCATGGAGATGGTTAACATTTTCTCGGCTTCCTGTATTGCCTCATTCCAAATCATCTCAACAAACTGACCTACATCTGGATCAAGGTCACTGTGCATGGAACAAATATCATCCAAAATCTGGAAAAAAAATCATCCTATCTTAAATCACATATTAGGAGAGATAAGCAACAAGAGAGAGAGAGAAAGGGGAAGGGAGTGAGGAAGGAAAGGGGAAAGGCAGGAAGATTCATCCTCTGCTTGATTCACTGTTATTTGATTTCCTGGTATAAACCTTTTGTATAGTTAAGATATTATACTTCTGCATACCATCTTCAGTTTGTGGGATCCTATCTGATTGGAGATAAATTTGGGTGTGTGCCATGGCTCCATATTCATCAGACCTGATGTGTACCTCTTGTATAACTGTTCAAAGCAAATTAGAACTTCATCTGCAGAGTCCAGATACCAAACTACAGGCCCCTCTCTAGCCTGGATATGCTAGAATAGAACATGAATTTGTTACATACTGTGGTAGGTGTAATATTTAATAATTAATAATAGACACATTTGCAGATGTGAAAAATCATTTCAATGTACCTCTCCATCTAGTTGCCCCCCTTGATGATAAAGTCTGAACTTCTCACTAGATGTCAGGGCATGCACCTCAATAATGTGAACCATTTTTGAGGACTAAAAAATAGAATATAATAAATTATTTTCACTTGGCATTTTCATTCTCATCAGAATCATTACTCTTAAATTGATTTACAAAATTCTCAGACATTTTTTCAATGTCACTTAATAAAACAAAATTTAAGTCAGATTAAAATTACATGTACAAACATTCATAGTTATTACATATAGGGCACACATCTTTCAAAACAGGTGGCAAATGGGCCATAACAATCATCTGATTTAAAAAATTCTTTTTTCCTTTTTCAGATTTAAAAATTTGGACACCCATTGTAGACCCACCCTCCCCCAGTGGTCATGTTTTGAACAAAATTGAATAATAAACTATTCCTGGATGTCTCCATATAAAATAACCATGTGTTTTGCTGTTCATGAAAAGATTTTATAAAAATCCTATATACCCAGGTATACCCATATAAAAATTTGATCACCCATAGTGGCCCCAGCCAACAACCGGGGGTCATGAGTTGAACAAACTTGAACCTATGCATCTTTATTAAAAGAAATAAGTAATGAATAACTAAAAATATATAATTAAAAAAAAGAGAATTGAGATGAGTAATACATGCCTTTAGCAGAGCCCATTTTGCCACTTCATATTTATCATCATTGGGAGAAGGGGCCTCTGGATCATCCAATGACCACGATTTTATGGCATTTAAATTCACGGCCTTCTGATGCCTTGCATTAAGGTAAGTTTTAGCCTTCTGTAATTTTGCTGTGAATGAAATAAATAGATTATAAATGATTTTATTTAATATCAACAATTTGTGTCCAATTACCTTTCACAAACTAGGTTTGGACACAAAATCCAGTAAACAGTGATTCAAGTAAGAAAAGTCTTCCTTTTAAGACAATGATTCACAAAATGTATGCTTATTAAACATATAATTTTTTTTTAACGATTAAAAGAATGAACAGTTTTAAATTTTCAACGATTAAAAATGCATAAGTACTGTACTGTAGTGAATAAGTCCTTACTTATTCGTCCTTTTCTGAAATTCTTTCCAGTGAGTGGCTCTCCCACTTCGTACTTGGCTGTTGGCAGAATCTCTTGCTGTTCTATACTGTCTGTGATGAACTCACATCGAACAACAGGGACACTGTATCGCACGGCTTGCCTCTGTTTATAGGAGGATTTTTCCAGCATATCTCCAAATAGCACAACATAGTTTGTCTAGAGAAGAAAAGATTACACTGAGTTAGCAAAAATATAACTGTATTCCAAAACAAGTTGTTATTTTTTTGTCGCCTGCTGAATGTTGGGGATATTAATTTTGGTCAGTCTGTTTAGCTGTCTGTCTGTAGTTCTGTCTGTCTGTAATGCTAATTCATTCTCAAAGCCGGGGAAGCATTAATTACAAGAAATAATACTTGAAGTGAACAACAAAGAAAGTGACGGTGTAAATTGAAGGATTTTACAATACTTGGATCTGTAGCTCTCTGCTTTATCTGTCTGATTTTTTTAAAGCACAGAGCTGTAACAGTTCTGCAGCTATGAAGGGTCTGACAATATCCATGATATCAGTATAAGCAGTTGGTCATGTCTACATAGTGATGAAATTTACAGCAAACTCCAAAATCTAATACTGTACTGCATAAAGTTATGGTACCTACATCATTTTATTACTTACCTTACGAGTAAAAACGTAGGATATAGTTCCTCCATTTTCAGTTATCTTTCTCCTCCAACACTGCTTCACTTTGAATCTTGTCAAACTATCAAACTCCAACACAAAAGTGCAATTGTGAAAAAGATTTGAGCCAGAAATTACCATAATTTAGAACGTCTTTCTCCGCAAGATAGAATGAAGCAAGTCTGAAGATCTTTTTTCTTAAATAATCATGATAATGGTATTGCACCACAAGGAAACGAAAAAGAAAAATAGAGTGAATCAAACCCTAATCAAGGTTGGAGAGGGAACAGTTGACAAAAATGAAGTGACAGTCATCTCGGCAAAAACACATGATTCTTAAAAGCATAATAAGCACAATATGTTAATTTCAGTCTAGATTTGTTTATGGTTTTACGGTTTTCTAAACATTCAATGATTCTTTTTTTGTTTTTTGTTTACAATGACACATTATGAATTTTGAACCCGATATGATTTATTTCTGTACTACGATCCCGATGTATATATCTATTGATATAAACACACTTGGGCAAAGAAGAAACTTATTTAATTATGCCCCCGTAAACAAAGTTTCGAGGTATATAGTTTTTGCTATGTCCCTCTGTCTAGCTGTATATCTGTCTGTTTGTCCTGAAAAACTTTAACCTTGCCCATAACTTTTGATTGTTGGGACAATGGTTTTCATATTTCACAGGTGTCATGGGTGTATTCCTTGTGAAAAGACCTTTCTTTTGGTACCACCAAATTTGACCCTGACCTTGGAGTTTGACCCAAGTTTACACCATAATTCTAAATTTTTACTTTAGCCATAACTTTTGAACAGGTGATGCTAGGACTTTCATACTTCATAAATATTAATATTCTTTGTCAGTTTGTGATAAGACCTAGCTTTCATTGGATACCAAAAACTTAAACCATGTGACCTTGAAGACTGACCTACTTTTATTAACTTTCACCTTGGCCATAATTTTGAATGGTAAGGGCTAGGGCTTTCATATTTCATATATGTATTCTTTGTAACAATACCTTTCATTGGATACCAACATGGCCCTTGGACCTTGGAGTTTGACCTACTTTAAACAAAAACGTAGAAGAATCTGGGGCCATCTCTAACAGATCTTTTATTAGTTTCGTGTGTAGCTAATAGTACATGCCAAGTGCATGTGATCAATTCACTTTTTTCACTTGTTCACAATTTTGAATTATAAGACTATTTCATCACATTTTTCATTGACTACAAGCACATATACAGTGACGCAACTCAACAAGATAGCCATGGTATAAAGTGATAAAGGGGGGGAGTAACAAATCATAAACAAATCTTGCTGAATTCTTAATACTTTTATTCTTTCATATACAACTTTTTCGAATTTTTCATATGCAGATACATTGTATATGTATAGATGCATTAATCATTAGTAAATAATTTAATATTATTAATTAGATTAATTTACAAGTCATGTTTAACCATACAAAATCCTCACACTTAGAGAACATGTATCACAACAAACAATATCAAACTTAATTTGAATATCAGTCTCTGATAAAAGGTATTCACCACCACATCTACAAGGATATGTGTAAGTTATGTCATCTGCTTCAGACATGTCACACTTTTCAAAATCACCTATCTCAACGTCGTCCTGAATAGGCCAATCCTGAGATATTAATCTCTGTTTCCACTTTATGTCATACTGCTTCCTTAAATCTTGATTGCTCAAGATAGTCCATGCAAAATTTATTTTTGCAAATTCTTCATGTGCATTTTGCTGCAAATCCGAAATTTCTCCACCATTTTGTGATAAGATTTTGTCTGGATGACTCCGTAAAGCCAATTTTTGGTAACTTTTCTTTATTTCTTCAAACGTTGCTGTTTCCTCACAGTCTAAAATGCTATAAAGATCTTCCATTCTTAAATAACAACAGAATGATGAGAATCCATCGCCTCGCCGCACAGTCGAAACTTTACTTTCATTTTCAAATGCTTTATCAGTTGTATCTAAAATATTCGATTCTATAAAGTAAACATTCCGACATGGTATGATTAACCTACGGTCAATTATTAAAAATCTGTACTAACTAAAATACATTCAAATAAAAAAGCTTTCACTTTTCAGGTTTAACTATGTGAAACAATTTAATAAATCTATATCGAACAGAAAAAATCCACGAATTCGCTTAAGAACAACCTGTTCAATGCCAATGTAATACTTCCGGTGTTGAAAGCTGTGAAGATCAAAAATGTCAAAATTGGTTGCTGAAATCAAAGACATTTTGAGCGTACATTTGGTCACCAATGTACTACTTTCTGTATCGTATTACCTTCTGAAGACAAATCGTCCAATATGTGAATACCTTTTTGATGACTGCTTCTTAGAATTGGTAAGGGTAATGTTTAAAAGTTTTAAGCTTTTTGCAGCATGCCATGTTGCCCTTGGGCAATTTTTGATGAGATTGACGATCGCTTGGCTTTGCTCATGTAGCCCTAGCAGCATATGTTTGATTAGATATTTATATTTTGTCACTTATATAAGGTACCTTTTGGTATAAAATTTATAAAACATTAGAATTGAACTCTCACCTTCATTATCTCGACAAAAAAATAATAAACAGTAGTTCATACATGTAAATATTCTTTGATTACACAAAGTGGTCCTGTACAGGTCCAATGGAAAGACTATTTCTACCTACTAATAGTCTTTTGACTGGACTTGCTGTAGGTCCGAATTTTGTTTCTTTATACTAAGTATTTAAGTGTATTTAAAAAAACAAATTTGAAAGCCAATCTTGTTTTAAATAAATAAGATGAAGCATATCTTGTTTTAAATAAATAAGATTATGTACATATATATTGCAGCATTACAAATGCAGATTACAAGTCAATAAACAAACTTTCATTATCACTTTTCTCTTCATTTCAGAAAGAGTGGGAATGGCTGACTTTTCTAGGCTGTATTATTGTGATAAAATGCCGTAAACATGGTAATTTCTTATTTTACCCACACATTTTTCAGAAAATTTATTTTGAAAAATTAAATACAGATAACAGATACACAAATTTAGTAATTTGTACATACTTATCATAAATGTTGACATGGCACATACTGATTTTGCAGCCGCATTCTTGGATTATGTGAATACAGCATGCATGTTTGCAAAATTTTTGAATGGTGTTATGATGTTCCGGGCAAGTCCTATCTATGGTCTGGTGTATTTTCTTGTGGTTTTATGTAAGTATAAATACATTGTACTATGAAATCAATGTACTTTTTTCTTACTATTTACTGGGAAATTTTACATGTGATATACCTTTCAATCAAATAAGCAAACTTTTTCTCCAATTCTTTCTGAGAGAAGTAGACTATTGTTGGTGTCAATATTATACCTGCATACCTTTATAATAATACAGACATGCTTATAATAGTTTTTCACATGTGAAGTCATGTTGTACTTTAAAATACTTTTTTCAGTTTTTATCGTTGTAATGAAAAATAGATATGGAATTCTGAGCTTGTTCTAAATCTTTTTTTTTCTCTTACATACAGTACATACAATTGTTCTCCCTAGACCTGTTTACCAAGGTCCTGAATATATCACTTATTTTAGAGGACCTCATTTACAGGTGAGAAAAATACAAGATGCATGGCCATTAGTGATAGAACGATTGTCGCCGACAATCGATTGTCGGTCGTTAGAAGCTCTTCGATGCTACTAATCGATTATAAAATAAATGTCGCCGACATCGCTAACAAAAAATGAAATTGTCATACTTTAATTTTATTACCAAATCCAAGTGCAAAGAGCATAAAAGTAGTGATGAATGTTGAAAACATGAAAGGATTCCGTGTCTTGTTGATACTTTTACCGCCATGATTAAATATGGGGTCAGACTAAAACCAGGAAACGGTGATATTGCAAGGTTTTACTATATACAAAGGAAATCATAATTAGTTTAATCAATCTTTAAACGTAATTATAATCAGAAATACAAGTCTTTCTTCTGGATAACTACTTTTAAAACTTACAATTTTAACTAATTAAAACTAAATAAAAGAAATAGGTACATGTATTAAATGAAAGGTGGGACTAATATCAGTAAAATACCCATTGCATGGACTTTATTAAAAAAAATAAATTCCCATTCTGTTTTTAATAGTCCTACATTTGTTAGAGTAAACAAAATATTATTCTCCACTTAAAAAAAGAAATTTCAATTAACATTTTTGAATATTTTATGTATGTAAATGAATTTTTTGTAAAAGTCTGACAGAAATCTGAATTAGTTTTAACTTTTCTATATTAATTTCATTATAGTTCAAAATTTCGATTATAATCGATTATTAATCGATTATGCCCATCCGATTATTACCGATAATCGATTCTGATTTTTTTCCGATTCCCCATCACTAATGGCCATGTATCTGAAATTTGAAATGCAGTTTTGAATCAATAAAACATACCAATATTGAAAATGTGAAGCAAAAACATCAAGATTTCTCAATATTTAAAGCAGTCAAATTAAGAATTTGTACTTTTTATTTCTACAGGAGGAGTTAGAAAGAGACAAAAGAATTACCTGGATTATTTCATTCTATGCTGCCTGGTCACCACAGTGTGTTACATTTGCTCCAATTTTCTCTGAAATTTCATCTCAGTATGTACTTTATGCATTGCACTGTTCACATAACAAGCATATATTTCCTCTCAATTTATTAAGTCTTCTTTAATGAAGCAAAAATTTCTTGGACAGCAGTGTTATCTACATTTGGAATGTAAATAATTTAATCCAGTGTTTTTTTAACACACAAGCCCATTTAGCACTTCTCAAGATGTAGTATTTGTTGACATTTGTAGATATCATCTAGACAACCTAAAATTTGGTAAAATTGATGTGTCCAGGTATCCAGATGTAGGAAAAGCGTAAGTAAAACACAAAGTAATTTAGTTTGTACATGAATGGTTGTAAAGTGAATTTTTTGTTTTATTTGGATGCTTATTGTTTTATGTAGACCTTTATCTCAATTGCTCGTGTATACTTAAGGAAATGGAAAAAAAGTCATATATCATTAACATATGTCATTAATCGAAATTCTATTTAAAAGAAAATATCAATATTTTTGAGTTACAACTCCTATGTTTATATTTCACTCCCATAAAATCTTTTGCAGATTCAATATTGACAGTAGCTCCTGGTCAAAGCAGCTGCCCACTGTTATTGTTTTTGAGAATGGAAAAGAGACAAACAGAAAGCCATTCATTTCACCAAAGGGCACAGTCCTGCGTTACAAATTCTCAAAGGTAAGACAAGACAGATTATCATTTGAAAACAAAAATATTGATTTTTTTTATTTCCACAGACTTTACAGTCTTCAATGATACAAATATCCATTAATTAAGCATGCAAGCAACCTTAAATAATGCATTTTAATATTTAATTTTGTCCTTTTCTCAACAAGAAAAAAAATTGATGTGGGGGCATTGAGACACACACAAAAAAAACTATTGCTTGAAGTGATTTTATTTTTTAAACAATCTTGTCGTATGTAAAGCTTTTAACATTTATTTTCTTTTCACAAACAGGATGCAGTGATTGCAGATTTTGATCTCAATAACATCTACCAAAGGTGTAAACAAAATCCTTTAAAAGGCTACAAAGACAAAACTGACAAAGATGCTGCCAAAGAAAAGAAAGAAAACTGAGGCCAAAATAATTTCCAAGTCGTGCAATGAAAAAAGAGACAAAGAATGGAGTGCAATGTTAAATCTTCTCTATGCCAAGTCTGCAAAAGTACCTGTTCAACAGGCAATACATAAAATATTCTGTGTTTTATGATATGTTAAACAGGATTTTTATATAGTCTTGGGTTTGGGTTAAATGTTTGAAGAGGATTGGATACAAAACTTGATTATTAAAATTAGACTTGTTCTGAGGCTTTCAAGGTCAAGAAGTGAAAGATGTGGATGAATCTCTTCTTTTTGTTCAGATTACATGGAAATAAAGTCATTTTTTACATTTTTAAATTGGTTCATGTACAAAGAAGAAGGTATGGTTTGGGTTTTATTGAGCCCTCAAAATTCAATGTTTACAAAAAGTTATGAAATTTTGCTTTAATATACCCTGGGTAAGTTGAGTACATAAGTATGAATGTGATAAATCATGAAATAATTTTTCATGAAGGAAGACCGTTCTTGAAGTATGACATCATTAACTAAATCTAATAGTAATTGATGAATTGCTCATCTCTGATATTTTCACACATGATGCTATATGTGTTAACTTTACAGCCATTTTATTTAAAATTATATTGGATTTAAAATCAATCTCATCTTGGAGGCAATTATTATACCCCCCGCAAACAAGTTTGGGGGGGTATATAGGAATCACCTTGTCCGTCTGTCCGTCTGTCTGTGCAATCGTGTCCGGTCCATATTTTTCTTAAAGAGGGACATTAGAATCTACTACTCCACACAAAGATTGCCCATGACCTAAGGGTGTGTCATGACCTTGACCCAAGGTCATTTGGGGAACTTCAAGGTCACTGGAAGAAAAATTTCATAATTCGTGTCCGGTCCATATCTTTTTTAAAGATAAACTTAGGTTCTCATTTCACACAAAGATTGTCCATGACCCAAGGGTGTGTCATGACCTTGATCCAAGGTCATTTGGGGAAGTTCAAGGTCACTGGAAGAAAAATTTCATAATTCGTGTCCGGTCCATATCTTTCTTATGGATAAACTTGGTAGGTTCTTCTTTCACATAAAGATTACCCATGAAGCAAGGGTGTGTCATGACCTTGATCCAAGGTCATTTGGGGAAGTTCAAGGTCACTGGAAGAAAAATGTCATAATTCGTGTCAGGTCCATATCTTTCTTAAAGATAAACTTGGTAGGTTCTCATTTCACACAAAGATTGCCCATGACCTAAGGGTGTGTCATGACCTTGACCCAAGGTCATTTGGGGAAGTTCAAGGTCACTGGAAGAAAAATTTCACAATTCATGTCCAGTCCATATCTTATGGATAAACTTGGTAGGTTCTAATTTCACACAAAGATTACCCATGAAGCAAGGGTGTGTCATGACCTTGATCCAAGGTCATTTGGGGAACTTCAAGGTCACTGGAAGAAAAATGTCATAATTCTTGTCAGGTCCATATCTTTCTTAAAGATAAACTTGGTAGGTTCTCATTTCACACAAAGATTGCCCATGACCTAAGGGTGTGTCAAGACCTTGATCCAAGGTCATTTGGAGAAGTTCAAGGTCACTGGAAGAAAAATTTCATAATTCGTGTCCGGTCCATATCTTATGGATAAACTTGGTAGGTTCTCCTTTCACACAAAGATTACCCATGAAGCAAGGGTGTGTCATGACCTTGATCCAAGGTCATTTGGGGAACTTCAAGGTCACTGGAAGAAAAATTTCATAATTCGTGTCCGGTCCATATCTTTCTTAAAGATAAACTTGGTAGGTTCTCATTTCACACAAAGATTGCCCATGACCTAAGGGTGTGTCTTGACCTTGACCCAAGGTCATTTGGAGAAGTTCAAGGTCACTGGAAGAAAAATTCATTATTCATGTTTGATACATATCTTTATTAAGGAAAAACTTACTTCTGAAAAACCCAGTGGGGAGTATTTTGTCCTGTTTGGACAGTTCTAGTATTTGCTTGTGACAGTGGGTGATGCCATTAAAAAGCACCCACATGGTGCAGTGGTGAGACTGCTCTAGAATTGCAGAGCAAGGAATTGATCCTTATGTAACACATTCAAATTCCACCAAATCTATTCTACACCTTTAACACTGACCGCCATGACAGAAAATCTCATGATACATGTATTAAGTAAGATTAAATTACATGTATTTCCTTGTGATAAAACCGTTTTTTGGGACCAAATTTGACCTCTTGACCATGACCTTGGAGTTTGACCCACTTTTACTAAAAATTACCAAACTTAAACCTTGTCCATAACTTTAGAACAGTTGGAGCCATGGCTTTCATAATTCATCGTGACAAGACCTTTCAACTGGTATAAAAACTTGACCTCAGAGTTTGAACCACTTTTAGAAAACTTTAACCTTGTCCATAACTTTTGAACAGGTACATATAGTACTAGGGCTTTTTAATATATTTCACATGTGTATTCCTTGTGAACAGACCTTCCCTCCTCTTGGTACCAACATTTTTGACATTAACTTGGGTTTAAATTTTGACTTGTATTTGAGAAACTGCAACCTTCCCCTTAAGCTGCCATACGGGCTCATCAATGTTTCGCAAACACATTTTGTTTGGATTATTTTTGCCTTATTTGTCATTGAGCTTTATGTAAAATTCAATAATACGAGGGTTGTCCCAAAAAGTCGTAGACAGGGAACATAGTTTATTTTCTCTTTGCTAAATCAAATTTCTTGTCATAGCAAAGAGTAACATTTTTTTATCTTGCATTTAAAGTTTCATGACGATACCACATTTAATAAGAAAACTATGAAAAAATGAAGAAACCATGTAAGTGTACATCGGCGCATGAGAGCAAGCGTAATTTACGTCTCATAACGTTATGGTCCCTTTTTCTGCTTCACATCAGGCTATTACATGTAACATCCAAATGAATATTCTTTTAGTGAAAAACCACTCATGACTACGGGACTAATTTAAATTCACTACTGTCCGTTTTCTTAAGCAGATTCAAATTTTTAGTCAAGATTAAATTAGTTGAAAGATTATCTTACATTTTAGGCAGCAGAGAATACACATTGTTTGATGACGTTCATGGCTCAGAACTTTCCCAAATGTCTGCGTTAAACGATCAGTACTCTACTTTACATGCAATAACTATCTTTTTTTTCGATATAGAGGAAAAACGATCTTTGAATCTCATGCTATTCAAAAACACCTTTTCTATTAAAAAAATAGTGAGTAGTGTCCTTCCTGTACTCTTTTATCCCGTCTCTGGTGAATATAAAACATACCAAAAGCAATTTATTACATTTCCGTGCGCCGGGTACGCGTTCGACGACGTCATTTTCATCAATCTCGATTCGAACATCACTTTCAAAATCATGTCACCAGTCGTCTGTTTCTAATGCTATTTAAATGAAATTTTGACATATTATTAAGCTTTTAATTCTGGTTTTAGTGATTTAAATTTTAGTTCAATCTTTTACATAGTACCAAAGAAATAAAAGCAAATGTAATAGTTATATGCGTAAATTATTCCGAATTTTGGTCGTGCGCCGACAGACCATATCGGCCTTCAAATAAATCGTCCCATTATAATTAATATGAAAGATATATATTTAAGAATTCACAATTTTAAAGAACATTGAATGTATTATGTCTATGCAAAATTTGGTTAGTATTGGTTACGTGTTTAAAAAGTTATTAACATTGTCTACGACTTTTTGGGACAACCCTCGTAATAACAAATTTACATTACAATTTAATGTTAGTTAAATTATATTTTATGTACTAAAAATATGTCACCATGATATTGTGTATTAATATATCTTTAAATACAAGTACTAGCCTATGACCATAACTGTAGCGTTATGGTTTTATATATTAGTCTTTGACCATGATATGGTCAAAGACTTATGTATAAAACGGTAAAACCATAAAGCTACAGTTCTGCAGCTAAGCAAAACATTCAAAAGAACATTTGCGTTGTATGGAATGCCATATACGACAGCCAACTGCTTACTGCTGACTGCTTACTGCCAACTGTCAGCAGCTTACTGCTAACTGCCACAAATATTTGAATAATTTTTATATTTATATTGATATTTATGTGAACTTTCAAAAAAAAAAAAACAGGCGCGGATCCAGGTCATTTTTTCCAAGAGGGTCACCCTGGTAAAATTAAATTGATTAAATGACCAATATGTTTATCCTATTTAATATTTATTCAGTATATGCGATTGATAAAGTACATTTTTTATTTGTTTTCTCATTTGAAATAGGTAATAAAATGACTATTTTCTGCATTTAATCTTTAAAGAAGTACACCCTCCCCCAACCCCGGAGACAACAAAACCTTTGAAGAGAGAAAAATGAAAAAAAAAAAAAAAAGAATTTCTTGTTTTGCAGGGAAAGATGTTTTAAAAATAAGTTTACATTTTCCATTATATTCTACAGCTAAAAATTTCCTCAAATTAAAGATGTATATCTCTGTGTGTTATAATGTTTCACATGCAAATATCTTGGGGTTGGAAAATTTATATCTCTTTGCTTTTACAAATAAGATATGTTTTACATGCATAGATCTAGAGAGAGAGGTCCGGACCACCCCTCTGAAATTTGTAATGTTATTTAATGCACACACTAAACCAACTAAAAGTTATTCAATGTATAAAATAAATCAACTTAAAAGGACCTTAGAACCCCCCCCCCCCCCCCGAAAACGCGGTTTCGTGTTAAGTTGGTATAAAAATGTCATAGACATGAAGGTATGACACATGGGAACCCCCTCTCCCGGCCAAAATAAATTTTCACATTTCTTGTCAAGAAATATCTGGGTTGGATATATTTTTAACATGAGTGACCCTCTTGGAAAAAAAATGTTCTAGATCCGCGCCTGTTTTTTTTTTCTTCTTTTTTTGAAAATTAACATAAATATCAATATCAAAATAAAATTTATTCAAATATGTGTGACAGTAAGCAGTAAGCAGTTGACAGTTGGCAGTAAGCAGTCAGCAGTTGGCTGTCGTATATGGCATTCCACAGCGTTGAGTGAAGTTCTTTCAATTGCAAGGTAATTAAGTTTGCTTTTACTGTCCCCCGCTTTCGCGAAAGCGAGGGGACATTAAATCTCATTCGTCTGTCCGTCTGTCCGTTTGTCTAGCTGTCCGTCAGTCTGTCCGTCCGTCACAAAAACTTTAACCTTGCCCATAACTTTTGATTTAGTTGAGCTATGACTTTCATATTTCATATGTGTATTCCTTGTGACAAGACCTTTCTTTCATAACCACCAAATTTGACCTTTTGACCTTGACCTTGGAGTTTGACCCACTTTTACACAAAAATCCC